TTTGTTTTTGGAGAAAGGGACCCATGAAAGTCATAATATCACCCTATGGGGGGCTGGGAGAGAGTCCAGAGAAATCCTGTAAATATCCTGCTGAAGTTGTATAGTGACGTTATCAGTGGAAACTTAAGAATCTCTCACTTCTCCGTAAAAAAGAATGATTTTCCCTTTTCTGGCTTGCTGAGAGCCATAGCTGAGTCTGAATGACGCATGGCATTTTTGCCAGAACGGAGTAGTTGAGAGGTGACGCCAGCAAGCCATTGAGATGATAATGGTTATGTTAAGCTGTGTATATTGGACCCCTGCTGTCCACCTCAGCCTGCTACTTTGGAGTTCTCGTGGGGATTCCCAGAGAGTTCCCATTGGTTGGGGAAGTGCCGGAAGAGGGATTTCTGGTTGGTGGTTCCTGGAGGAGCTGCGTGGGGTTCAGGAGAGTTCCCGGGGAGCATGTGTGGAGTGTGCCGGTGGAGTTCAGAAATAAAGTTTGTTCCTGCTTCAGTGACTCCTGATTTGTGCCCAGCCAGACTGCGGCATTGGCTGGACCATTATGCAGCCATAAAAAATAATATCTGTATGCTGTATTAGTCAGTTTTCTGTTACTGTATCAAAATACCTGAGATAATCAACTTAAAAAGAGAAAAGACTTCTTTGGTCTTGGGATTTGGGCTATTTCTGCCCATGGTCAGTTGGCCCTGTTGTTTTGGGGTCTGTGGTGGCACAATACATCACGGTGGGAATGTATGGCAGAGAGAGCCTGTTCACCCCATGGTTGGGAAACAAAAGAGAAAAAGGAAGAGACCAGGGCCCCACAATTCCTTTCAGGACACACCCCCAATGACCTAAGACCTTGATCAGGCCCCATCTCTGGAAGGTTCCAACCCCTCCCAATAGTACCACTGGCTGGGACCACACCTTTAACACACGGGCCTCTGGGGAGCCTCCAGAGTCACACTCTAGCAAAGGCCAGATGAGGCAGGGGTGAGGGGAGGGGAGCTCACGACTACTCCTATGTACCTCTGAGTGCTGGTCTTGGTACACGGTGACGGTGGTATACCTGAGGGGGGTTTGCATGGGGTGAAGGCAGGAAGAGGTAATGGAGATCAGGGGTCGTGTCAGGCTGGCAAAAGGGAAGGCAGCCTTCATTTCCTGTTTTTCCCACGTCATCTCATTCCTTTTACTTTCCTATCTATCCACTCTCATTCCCCATCCTATACAAGCAACATCTTTTCATTCTTGTGGTCCTGGGGATTGAACCCAGGGATGCTCTACCACTGAGCTACGCCCCCAGCCCTTTTTATTTCATTTTGAGACAGAATCTCACTAAGTCACTGAAGCTGGCCTTGAACCCGAAATCCTCCTGCCTCAGCCTCCTGAGTTACTGGGATCACAGTTGTGGCTACTGTGCCCGCCTCTCTACAGGCAATCATTCTGATATTGCTCTTTTTCCAAAATGAGCATGTTTTGCATGGTGGCATTTTTAATGTCTGTAAATGATATTGTGTTTTTACATCCTTCTGTTTCTTATATCTTTGCCAAGACTGTGGGTTTAAGAATCCATCCGTACTATTGTGTGAATCCACACTAATTACTCCTTAATCCTTCCAGTGATGGTGGCCCAGGGTAGGGCCCCCAGCTCACTCCACTTTCTTTGTCCTGATTGAGAAACAGAGAGCCCTGTTTTCCCTGGGCTTGAGCCCCAGCCGGGGCCTTGAACTTTCCCAGACACCCGTATGAAGCTGTTTGGGTGGTTGCCTGAAGCACTGAATAATCAAACATGTTGCCAATCACGCAGGCACCAGCCCCAGGCCTGAGCCAGCTTCCTTCAACCCTCCAGGAAACTGCAGGCCCGACCCCAGTTGCAGACACGCCTGGGTAGAAGGCCTGCTTCCGCGGCCCCCGGGACACAGGCGCCTCTGTCTGTGAGGTGTCGCTGTGATGAAGTATCCAGGGCTGGGCAATTTTATAAAGAAAAGGGGTTTGTTTCTCTCACAGCTCTGGAGGTTCAAGGGCTCACGTGTCGTGAACAGCTGTCACGAAGGCAGAATCCCAAGATGGCCCAGGGCATCACACTTCAAGAGCAGGGAGGGCAAGCCACCAGAATGCCATCCTGGGGACCTCACCTGGTGATCCTATGGAATCCTAATCACTTTCACAGTCCCTGCCTCTAAACACCGTGGTCAATTAAGTTCCCACCCTCTGAATTCCCCACAGTGGGGACCCTTGGAGGACCCTCCGTCCTTTCCCAAACTTTAGCAGTCCCCTGGTAAATGGCCTTGTCACCCTGACCTGAGTGCCTCTGTCTTTGGAATGGCACCGGCCCTACCTCCGGACTGTCCCTTAATGGAATTCCGTTGCCTCCGCTTTGGGGGCAACTCCGGCCATGGGCTGGGCCACATGGACGATGCTGCACACATCGCAGGTGGTGTCCCTTCTCCCCCTTGAGAACCTTTCTCTGGGATAAGTCCCGGGAGCAGGACCCCCACAGCGGTGGTGGCTTCTCTGTCAGCGGCCAAGCTCCCTGGACCCTCCTGCCTCTGCAGTGCATGGGGATCCTGGTCCCCCACCCTGCCAGCAGGCGTTGAATAGATTTCTAATGTTTGCCAGTTAAATAGCGACACGAGATCCCACTGTCATTGTAACACGCGGCCGAGGGGTGGTGATCTGAAGCGTGCCTTCTGTCCTAACTCATCAGCGTTCAGTTTTGAAAACCTCAGCCCATTTTCCTCTATTAGGGAAGTGTTCATGGTTTGGTTTGCAAGACTCCAGAAGTTAGTCCTTGGTTTTGGATGTTGCGAACACCATCCCCCATTCTGTCACCTGATAACATTGGCCCTGGTGTCCTTCATTAAACAGAAAAACCTCAATTTTTCTTTCTTCTTCTTTTTTTTTTCCTGGTACTGGGGATAGAACCCAGGGCCATTTAAACACTGAGCCCCATCCCCATCCCTTTTTATTTTTTTATTTAGAGACAGGGTCTCACTGAGTTGCTTAGAGCCTCGCTAAGTTGCTGAGGCTGGCTTTCAATTCGTGATCCTCCTGCCTCAGCCTCCCAGGCCACTGGGATTACAGGTGTTCGCCCTCAATTTTAAAGTAATTAAATGTATCAGTTTGGGGTCTGATACTTGGCAAATTTTTCTTTGGGAAGTCCTTCCTTGCCCCTCCCTAGGTCACAAAAATATCTTCCTACACTGACGTTCACGTTTCACCCTCCCCTAGACTTGACTCCACCTGCACGGAAGGGGTCAGCAGGGATCTTGTCGTGTTTTTTTTCTCCATATAATGACCCAGTTTTCCCACACCATGACCATGACCATGGACCCACCAACTCCTGTTGACCTTGGTCGTGTGTGACGTCCTCTAGGGGGCGCCACTGAGCACTCTGTGTTTTTCCGCTTGTCTTCCCTCCTGTCCCCACACGTACACCTTGAACACCTTGACGTCTGGAGGTCAAGTCTTCCTCCCGTGCCCTCTTTCAGTCAGGCTGACTCAGCGATTTGAAGTCATTCATAGATCACCATAAAAATTTCTAGAATAAATTTTCGGAGACTCTATAAAGAATAAGATCAATTGGAATCGTCTCTGGATTTGCATTGAATCAACAGACTCCTTTGTGAAGGATGTCACAGCTTCTCGTCTTCAGTCGTCACTCTGACGGCAAGAGTAAATAAATCGCCTTCTTATTTTCTGCATGTTTGTTATATGATAATGAAAAAATATATTGGGAATGAGGAAACTCGGGCAGAATACAGAACTAGGCGACAAGCCGGGTGGAGGGACCCTCCCTGTGGCCCACCATGACCACGGGCAGGAGGTGCTCAGACCCACGCTCCTGCTGGGCCAGAGGGACCGGCGCTGGCAGTCCTTGGAGGCACTGTCTCAGGTCATCGTCCCCTGCCCATCCTGGGGGGAGCCACTGCGCCCCCTGCGTTGCAGGCCAGGAGGAAGGGGCCTGTACCAGGAAGCCAGCTGCCCCGGGGTGTGGTTTGGTTGGTCCCCACCCCAGCAGCTCGCCTGAGGTTTCGGCTGCTCAAGGTTCCCCTTGAAGCTCAGGGTGGGGCAAGGTGACAGTTCTGGAACCCAGGGAACGTCCTGGCGAAGGGTCAGCAACCCAGAGAGGCCAGCCCTGGCTTGGGCCTCGCCTGTGGAGGGGCTTAGCTGGGCGGGTCACAGGCCTTCCCTGGGCCTCTGACTGATCTTTCTTTAAGTCAAAGGCGGGACTCGGGAGGAGGGAGCCAGTTGCTCCTGGGAACTTTACTTTGCTCCTCAGGGTTGAGGTAGGGACTTGATGACCCCCATTTTATGCTAAGGCTCAGAGAGGCGAGGTGACATGCCAGGGTCACACAGCAGAGGAAGAATTTAAGCCCTGGGTGGAAATACTCAGAACGGCTCTTTCCCAGGACACTCAGGTTACGAGCCTTCACCATGAGAAACACATCCCTGAAGATAAGCCCCAAATGTGTCCTCAAAAACACACTGTGGTTCAACTGACCCAATGTCCATGCCCCAGGATTTCCTTTCCAGGAACAGGGTGACTTGCATCAAGTGATCCACCTTCCTGTCTTTGGTGGTCTGTCTGTTTGCTGGGTTGGACAAGAAGCGAGGAGGCCCCTCGGGTGGACACCGGCTGCTGGTGGGGGAGGGGGTCAGAGCCCACAGCTTGGGGGCTGCTGTGAGCATCTGGTCATGACAATGACAATGACTCCCCACCTGCAGGAGCCCAGCTGGAGGCTGGGCAGGGCCAGAGGGGAGAGTAAGGGTGAGCCTGGTGCTCTCCTGGCTGCCGGAGGCCGGGGGCTGCTGTCTCTCCAGGGCCACCTCTGCCTCTGTTCTCTGTGTGTATCAGCCCGTCCCGTGAGTCCCTCTTCCTCGGTTACTCTGCCACCTGGGCTTCCTGCTGAGACCAGCCCATGGCTAGGAAATGGAGAACGAGCTACAGGAAGTGACTTACCCAACCCAAGTCTGGCCTGAAGCGCCCCCGGCTCAGAGCCCTGCAAATACACCCATTTGTTCAGCCAACAAAGATTTATTGAAATCTTATTGGTGCCGATATTTGGCTCAACACGGGCCCAGCCCTGTGCTCAGCTGGGCTGATGGAGGAGCCAAGCTGTTCTGGTCCCTGCCCTTAGGAGCTCAGACTCTCAGAAATGCCCACCTCTGCCCCACGATCCCTCTCCCCCTCTCTCCTGAGTCCCACACACTGAATGAATAGCTGTGGGGAGCCTGGACCCATGACCCCCGCCCCACAGTGACAGCAGATCTGAGGTCGACTGGCCCACCCACCAGGCAGTCACGAAGGGGGAGGGAGGGCTCCCGGTTGACACACACACTAAGTGGCCTCTGAGGTTCAATGCCCCTGGGGGGCCTGGAGGGCTGGCAGTTCCCTGCATGGTGGGGTCTGCTCCTCGAGGATGGGCCCAGGACAGGCTAGGCTGGGCCCACCCCTAAAACAAACCTCCAGTCCACGACTCCCCCAGTATCCCAGGGGACAATGACCTCCTGAATGCCCCTCGCCAGGACCAAAGCAGAGAGGGGGGGGGCAGTCACACAGGGAGGAGCAGGGAGGCCGGGGCTCGTTCCACATGCTGCCCTGCCACGACCCACTCTCTGGGATCAGGACCCAGCGACACCAGAGGTGGACAGAGGCCAGCGGGTGCTCACTAGGGAGGCCGGGCCGGCGGTGAAGGTGTGCTCTTTGCTCTTGGGGGCGGGGGTGGTCTCAGGACTGTAGGCCTAAATCCCTTGCACATCTGCATCCGGGGACTCTAGGATCTGTGGACATATCTGGATGGGACCTTTGAGGCCACAGGATCCAACCCGTTTCCTCTTCTGCTGCGCCGTAAAGAGGAAGCAACCGAGGCCCTTGCATCCGCAGCAGCTGCTGAGGGCACACAGCAGATGGGAGGTGAGTCTGGGCGCAGGGCCGTGGCCACCTACTCATGGGACACAGAGGGGGCCTGGTCCAGCCGGCCAGTGCCCCCCGAGGAAGAAGGCGTGGAGATCTGACCCGGGAGGTAGAGGATGGCAAACCAGCAGAAGATGAAGACACCTGTTATAGGGAGAGAGACTTGGTGAGCCTGGGCTGCAGGGGACAGGCCAGCCTGGGCTGGTGGCTGCCCAGGGCAGAAGGGCTCCATTGTAAACCTTCAAGGACTCATGAAAATATCAGGCAAAAATGAAACCTACTCCTGAAAAAGAACCAAACAGAAATCTTGGAAATGAAAAAACAAGGATCTTGAAATGAACAAAACAAAACAAACAAACAAAAAACCTCAGACATCGGTCACAGAAAAGAAAGAGCAAGATAAGAAGAATTGTCAGACACACAAACCTACTGCAGTGGGATCTCCTACCATCCTTCTCTAAAGGATTACTACAGGATGCACTTCAGCAAGAAGAAGGAAGGTGTGGGGTGTAGGAAATTGAATGAGAAACAAAGGCTTTGTGTTTTAAAAAAACTTGTAACAAAAATACTACACAGCAATAATAGAATTTAGAGGATTCAATGGCAATTAAAATGCCTGAAGTGTTTGGGAGGAAGATAGAAATCCCAAATAACTCAGACTCAGTTGAAATTGAACTCAGTAGAGTGAGGCATGCAGGCTTAACTTCTGCAAGAATAATGGCACAATTTATAATTTCAAGATGTATCTCTCCCTAACTCTTAACCTCTAGAATTTTCCAGAGACAGACTCAACGATTCTTCAACTGAGTCTATCCTCAGATGGTTTTAAAGTAATCATTGCTATTGCTGTTACTACAGTTCCCACATATTGAAGATCTATTGTCTCACACGGACAAGATCATAGTTATTCAACATGAAATCCGGCAAGAAAGTGCTGAGACTGTCCTGACTTTAGAGATGAATGAGTATCAGAGGCATTGAATGACTTGCCTGAGAGGTGAGTGAAACTGGGATTGAATCCAGGTGGGCCTGGACCCAACCGCCATGCCACATGGTCTCATGGGGCACCGGGAGCCAGCCCTGGTCTCTCAGGTTTGCACCCATTGCATCTGGGATGACTGGTTCCTAGTGGCTCCCCTGGAAAGGGTGAGTCTTATCCCACCCTTCTTGCCTGTGTCCCTCACGGTCAGGCATGATGTCCCTTTGAGCTGTGTGCATGAATAATTGGAAACCGAGGAGCAAAGAGATCAGGTGTGGGAAAGAAAGTGTAATCCATCGCCTGGGCTTCTCTTCCTTGGCAGGGGGTCTCAGAGGGAGGACCCCACCAGGGCCCGTAGTACACATAGCAATCACTTTCTTCCCTCCTCCTTAGAGACTCTATGTGACCTGCCCTGTCATATGGACACCAAATCACATGACCTTGCCCTCCTTTCACAGTTGATTGGTCCAGAGATGGTCACCTGTCTTCGAAGGTCATATAGGGTCGAGGTGGGCCATGTGGGACAGCCATTTGGGGCCATGGGTAGTAACAGGCAAGCAGAGAGAAGAATGAAGGAGTTTCCACAAATGCTAAGTGACCAACAACACCAGCCTCCGGAGAAAAGATGGGGACAGCCTCTGCTTTGATTTGGGTGGCTTTCCTGATCCTGGTAGCAGGTCCCATGAAGTCAGCCACCCTTGATGCTCTGATTGTAAGAGAGCCCTGGATATTTAAAGCCAGAGAGCAATCCTGTTTCACAAACCATCCTGTCCCCGACTCCCAGCACCTCCGGGTGCAGACAGGACAGCGGCCCAGGAAGCTCACCTTGCAGGGAGTTGAAGAGGGCGAAGATATAGATGGTGGACAGACCCAGGGGCGTGAGGACAGCCAGCCCCCAGGTCACACCCACCAGGCTTGAGAGGCCCAGGATGGTGAGGACGGCCTTCCAGCTCTGCCCCTGCTCCTTGCCGGCTGTGACACTGCTCAGGGTGAAGATCTTCCAGGCCACCAGGGCCAGCACCACGGCACCAAAGAGGAAGGTGATGAGGAAGTAACCGTGGACGGTGGCGTAGAGGGCAGGCTCTTTCTGGAACCAGCACCTGGAGGAAGTGGATGGCCACTGGGACTGGGGGAGGTGAGCCTGGCCAGCCAGCCCCAGGACTCCTGCCCCTGCTGACCTTCTGTGACCTGGAAGACACCTCCCCCCACCTCCACCTTCCACACCCCGCTCTCCCACTGGGTACGGGCCTCCACGGGCTCCCCCTTGCATCTCTTTATTTTATTTATTTATTGTTTTGGTACCGGGGATTAAACCAGGGGTGCTTCACCACTGAGCCACATCCCCGGCCCTTTCTAATTTTTTTCTCCTTAAGTTGCTTAGGGCCTCACTAGGTTGCTGTGGCTGGCCTTGACCTTGTGATCTTCCTGCCTCAGCCTCCCGAGTCGCTGGGATTACAGGCCACAGGGCCCAGCTCAGCTTGGTGTCTCTTTAGATAATGGTGCAAAAGGGCCAGACCAACTCCAAAGGCCTGTTCCGCCTGCTCCACGTCATGTTGTAAAAAATATGAATTTGTAGCCAGTTGGGTATTAATACCCAGAATTTTGCTTCTCCTGTAAAACCACTCACAGGCTGCCCTGCGGACGCCCTCCCTGGAGGATAATGATTGGCAGCCCCTTAGATGGACAGGGGACTCCCCCTCCACTGCAGAGCCCCGTGGCCACCATGTGCACTTATATGACTTATTGGGCTTCTGAGGACCCTGCATATGGGGCCCTGTGGACAGGCCCAAGGCTGCCCCAACCCCTCCCAGCACAGAGCAAGAAGCCAGGGCTTCCTTGGAGATCCCTGGGTAGAAGTCCGGAGGCTCAGCCAGTTCCACCACTGCTCCCTGCACCACAGGGCTAAAGGCCTGAAGGGTATGTCCATCAGCTGCTCCGGGGTACAGAAGAAGAGACTGGGGTCCCAATGAGGACAGGTTTTCCCAGGGTCACACTCACAGCAGTTGGGGGCAGAGGCTGACTGGGCCCAGGGATGCTGGGAAAGGTTAGGCAGGTCATGCCCTGCATGAGGGCACCTGGATGAGGGTCAGGCAGGGGCTGAAGTCTAGCATGCCCTGCACTCACCAGGCTGAGAACCAGGCATGGGAAGGGTGTCACCATGGTGGCTGGTGGTGGCCTGGGGCAGAGGGGGACATCCTGCCTCCTGGCCCAGGTCTCCGTCTCCCTTCCTGAGGAAGCCCCCTCTCCCATTTCACTTCCTTTCTGCAGATTTCAGTTTTCCCCTGTGCCACGAGCCAGCTGGACCTGAGGATCCTTCTAGGCTTGACATTCTCCGTCTGATTTCCTAGGATCCCCTCCCCCACCTCCCTAGAGCATTAATACGTGACGCTAGAGGCTCCTTATCACCCCGTCTCCCGACAGCCACCACTCACAGCTCCAGAGAGGTGCGGTTCTCCTGGTCGCGGATGGTGTAAAGGCCATAGCTGTTGGCACTGCCGGTGCCAATGACCATGAGGGCAGGCAGGCCTGGGCACAAGAGCAGGAGGTGTGGCGTTTCCGGGCTCCCTTGGCATGTCCTCCTCCAAATCCCCTCCAGTCCTGGGGGAGCGGGAACACCCTTCCCTCTCCCCAAGGCTGCCCCCCTCTCTCTCCCCCAGGACCGCGGTCCCCTGTCCCCTTCCATGCAGCACCTACCCCAGCCCACCAGGCTCAGCTTCAGGTAGTAATGGCCGAAGTAGGTGTTGAAGACCTTGATGACGAGGAGGTAGAGGTGGAAGGCTTCCAGGCCCATCCAGGTGAAGGTGCAGAGCAGGAAGTAGTGGAAGATGGCTCCCCGGATCCAGCATGCAGCACGGGACCCCGCCGAGCCGCTGCCCACGCTGACCAGGAAGGCCAGATTCAGGAGGAACAAGCTACTACTCAGGGCCACGTGGATCTTGGGGGCATCTTCGGACTTGAATCTCTGCAGGGAGAACCTGGGGCCAGAAGGACCAGTGAGGCCCTGGGGGCTGCCGCTCCCACGGGTCACCCAGGCCTGTCCACCCTACCATCTAGGTTCCACCCCGACAGCCCTGGGCTCTCAGCCTCGTGGTCAGCTCCCGTGTCCATCTCTGCCAGCAGCCAGAGGTGAGTACCCTCAGGTTCAAGTTCAGGAGCCCTGCTGTGGCCCACAGGGCACCCTGGGTTCTGGAGTCTGCCAGCCTCATCCCATGACTCTGGGCTTCAACCAGCTGCATAACTTGCCGTCCCCTGAACGCAATTTGCTTTCCTGCGCCTCCCATACTCGGCCATGCCCAGCTCTGTTCTCAAAGCCCTTCCCTGCTCCTCAGCAACACCCCCTGTGGTTCTCCGACTCCTGTTCTCCTCCCAAGCTCCCCCCCCCAGTTCCTTCTGGGGAGCTGTCTCCACACTCTCCTGACCTGAGCCCAGGCTGATGGGACGTTTCCAGCAACACAGTGAAACGTTCTCCTCTCCCCTCCCTGCACCATAGACTTAGTCCTGGCACAGGGCCAAAAGGGGCCCAGGGTTCATTGTTGGGTGAGTAGATGGGCATGTGGGTGAACAGGGGTAGTAGGAAGAGAGGCTCATAGAGGGACAGGGACTTTCACAGAGTCACGGAGCCTGGCCCCAGCCTCCCTGCTCAGTGCTTCTTTGCAGGGCTCGCCTCCCCCCCACTATGGAGACCTCCCTCTGAATTCCTAGCAAATTAGATCCAAAAGGGCTCTTGACACTGGGAGCCGTGGCCCACACCTGTAATCCCAGGGGCTCCGGAGGCTGAGACAGGAGGATCGCAAGTTCAAAGCCAGCCTCAGCAAAAAGCAGGGTACTAAGCAACTCAGTGAGACCCTGTCTCTAAATAAAATACAAAATAGGGCTGGGGGTGTGGCTCAGTGGTTAGTGCCCCCCCAGTTTAATCCCCGATACCCCCCGCCCCCCAAAAGGGCTCTTGCCTGAGGAATGGGAGTGTGGGGCTTCCTGGAGGGGGCATGAGGGATAAATGTCCACCTCTCCTAAGTTGCCAGGCCCCATCTTGGTGACATTCTTCCTGGTATTCCAAGCCCAGCTCACAGGCTCTGGCAACACAACCAGGTAGAAAGTCACACTCGGCCCGTTGGGATGGGGATGGTGTCATGGAGCAGAGCTTGGAGGGGTGGGGTGGGTGCCACATGGGGGGTGGCCTGTGATGGAATGAGTGGGGCTCTCGGGGGCTGCAGCCTAGGGCCACGTGGGATGGAGGCAAAGGCTTTGAGAAGGGCAGACAGGAGACCCAGAGGCTGCCCCCGAGCTGCCAGGAGAGCCAAGTCGCCGTGCTCTCACTCTCTGTGCTTTTCCTGTGCCCCTGCCCCCTTCTGGAGACAGCCCCAGGTGTCCCTAAGAACACCCTTCCCTTCCGCGCACTCATCCATGGCGGGTGAGGGAGCTGGTGGCTGGTCCTGTCCACTCCAACTCAGGAGCAGGCATGAAGCCTGGCCTGGCCAGCGAGCGCCCTCCAGCCCCTGACCACAGTGACCCCATGGGCACAGGGTCCAGGTTGGACCAGTGAGACGGCTCTGGTGTAGGCACAGGGTAGACGACGTGAATGGCCAGTTCCATGGGCAGGTGACCTCGGCAGGGCCTGGAGTCACACAGGCCCCGGGCTGGGTTACTGCTCTCCTGACCCCGTCCTGGCAGCTGAATAACGCCTGAACAGGTCCTGCCGCTCCTGCCCGCGTACCCGTGTGTGTTTAAGATGATTAAAGTGGGAGGAGATCTGTGACCCACCGTCACCTTCCTGGCTCAGATACTCTACAGTTTCATAAGACGTCACCATGGGGGAACGTTGTGGGGAGGAACTATGGACTCTGTGCTATTTTTCCAATTTCCAGTTAGTCTATAATTATTTCAAAATAAAATATGTTTTTACAAAAGACCAAGACTGGGGACCTTTTTTGAGCCTCTGGATCTAACTCTGCCTGAAGCCCCCACATGTGAACCTCATCTGCCTTATCATGGTTTGTTAAGCCAATCTGAGTTGCTGCCACTTGACACACTTCAACCTCCACCCTGCTTCGTGGGCAAGGAGACTGAGGAGCAGTGAGGACTCTACCCTGCCCCCCGGAGGTGTGGGCTGGGCTGGGGCCACCCACCTCAGGGTAAGATAGAGGACAATGGTGAAGGCCAGGAAGATCATGGAGACTCCACAGCCTGCCTGGGAGATGTGAGTAAGGACCTGCGCGGTGGCACGGTCCAAGACGGGCCTCTGTGGATGACAAGGACGACATAAGAGCAGGTCCATGCTCCCCCAAAGCCCTGGCCCTGTCAGGAAGCCCCTCCCTGGGGCGGGACTATGGGGGTCACAGTGGAGTGGGCTTTACCAACAGCAAGGCGAAGAAGGTCAGGTGGTCACAGTGGCAGACAGTCCCCTCAGCTCCGAGCTCGGTGGAGCAGCCCTTGGAGTCCCAGTCCCCAGCAGGCCCTGGAGGGGAGGAGAGGGGGACCAGAGGAAGGGAAGGGGGGCCCCTGAGGGTGGGACTTGCCTCACCCCCGTGGGAGCCCACAGTCTCCCTCTCTCTCACCCCAGAGAGGGTCCTCCAGGCCTTACCTTTATTCACATCCCAGAACACACAGGTGAGGGTCGCGTTCTGAAGCCAGAGGGTGGAAGTCAGGAGAGAGGAAAGAGGCTAGGGCGGGGTGGAGGAAGGGGGGGAGAGGACACCGTCCCCAGGCCTAACCTGGGGTGCATCGGGGGAAAGCCGCCCCGTGGGTTGCACAGGAAAGTGGCCTGCACCTTGGGTGTGCCTGGACCCATAAGCGAGGGACACAAAGATGGCCTGGGGCTGTGGGCGGAGGGTCTGTGCATCTGCACCTGTGCCTTTAGGGAGCGCGGTGGGCGGGCGTGGGAAGCTGTGGGCATGCAGGAGGCTGGCCTGGCCCTCACGTGCCCCGCTGTGAGCACAGAGGGTGTCTCTGTGAGGTGTCTCTGGCACAATTGTGTGTATGTCCCTAATGGCTTCTCTTGGGCTGATGGGAATGACAGAGGGCACAAGGTCCCACGTGTGTCTGCACAGAGCCCCGGTGTCTGTGTGTGCCCACCCGCCTTACTGCCTGATAGTGACTCCAGGCCCCAGGTAGGCACTCACCGGGGGCTGACGTTGGTGGGAGAAGGTGATCTCCAGAGGCTCTGGCAGCCTGGTGACAGGGGTGCGACCCACACTCAAGCCCACCATGTGGTTGTTCAACACACTGCTGCCATCTTCCAGGCGAAGCTGGGGGCCCTGGGAAGGGGAGGGGGTGGGGAGGGGGAGGGGGAGGCCAGGCTGCAGCAGGGACTGCCCCAACCCCTCCTGGCTGGAGATCCAGGATCCTCCAGGACCTGGGGCCCTTGCCTGGGGGGCAAAGTCCGAGGCCTGTGCTCCAGACCAGCTGATCACAAAGCCTTGTACCCGAGAGCCCTCTGCTGTGGGCCCCAGCTCCTCTGTCCTGTTACCCAGGGGCTCACAGGGCTAAGATCAGCCGAGAAACCAGGGGCAGTGGGTGTCTTCAGGTGGCTGAGCATCCACACCCAGGAGACCCCACATCTGTACAGAAGTAGCCACACGCCTCTGGGTACACCCACTGGGTTCCCATTTGCAAGAGTGAGAGCTCACCTGTTCACTGACTGTGGTCACACATGAGTGGTGCAATTGTGTGTGTACAGAAATAGAAAAGGACGCATGTGTTTGTGCAAGGGCACATGAGCGCGCTGGCGTCTCATATGCAAGCCAAGGGTTGCTGATTATGGGGCGGTGGAGGCTGCAGTCCATGCCCCCTAGAAATGGCTCTGGATGACCTGGCTGCTCTGGGGACACTCACAGGGCTTGGTACCTCCCTCCCCCAAACCCCAAGGTCTCCAGCCAGGCCCAGGATGGTGCACAGGACCACGGAGAACCCAGCATTGAACCTGAATCCTCACCTTGAAGAGGTCTCCAGCACCGATGTCCAGAACAGATATGGCCAACCGGACTGCAGACCTGCTGCCCGGCAGGGAGGCGAAAAAGCTCCTGGGAAGTCGGACTCTGTCAGGGGGCTTGTCCTCGCCCATCATCACCTGCCTCGGAATCTGCAATCACAGGTCGGCACTCCAGCCCCCATGCAGGTCCACCATTGCTCCAGTTGGAAGGGAGACTGAGGCAAGCTGGGCAGAGGGGCAGCACTTACAGACCATCCCCCCCCCGAGGGGCAGGACACTGGGCTTAGGCCAGGCTCTGTTCCTCACAGTCAATGACACCTGTGTAGCCCCAGTGTCCCTAGAATAGAAAACAACCACCTGCCACCGTGGCCACCTGCCAGGCTGAAGGTAGCTCCTGAGAGAAGACCCCTGGGCGGCCTCAGTTTGCAAGGAGGGGGAAGGCCAGCAGTTGAGAGCCGTGGGCCGGGACCTAACAGCCCCGTGCTTCCACATGGCTCCATGGTGACCGTGTCTGGCTTCCGACTCAGGAATAAGTGGAAAGAATCAGGCCATCAGGAAGGAAGGTCAGCAAGGGAGACAAGGGCAGAGGTGCAGGACACACACATTCACTGAATGAAATCCTTCCTGCCCAACCTCAAATTGTTTAAAAACGAAGGATGCTCAGAACATTAGAATAAGCCCCAGTGGTGATCACAAAGCCCACTGGGTTCGTTCCCTGATCTCCCTGGCTCCCGGGGGACTGCAGCCTGCTCCCCGCTGGTCCCTGCCTCAGCAGCATCCCAGGTGGATTGGAATAGAGGAGCTAAGAGTTGGAACGAAAGGCCCCCATTTTCTCGTTCTCTGTCTTCCCCTTTCTCCAGAAAGAACTAAAATTCCCTCAGGGATAACCAGCCTGCCCAGCTGCCTGGTTCCTCACCATCAAATCCGTCCCCTAGGCAGGCTGCTGGCCTGGGAGCTCCAACTTTACCAGGGTGGGCTCGCTCCTCCAATCGCATACAGAGTGGCAGCTCCTTCATCATTTTACCGATAGGGAAACTGAGGCTCAGTAAAGTCATTTCCTCATAATCTTAATGGCTGGTAAGGGGCAGAGCTGGAATTTTTTAAAATATTTTTTTTATTTGTTGATGGCCCTTTACTTTATTAATTTATTTATTTTCATATGGTGCTGAGAATTGAACCCAGAACCTCACACGTACTAGGCAAGCGCTCTACCACTGAGCCCCAGCCCCAGCCCCCTGAGCTGGAATTTGAATCTGAACCAATGTGGACGAAGACACACCCCCTTGCCCATTTAGCCCTTCTGCTGCCAAGTGTATCCTCCCTGGTTTTAAATGTGTTCCCTGGGCAGCAGAGCTCACGGGGATTTTAGACTTGGAGGAGCTTGAGAATTCATCCTACCGATGAGGATTCTGGGGCCCAGAGAGGGAGAGGGACTTCTGGGGACATCCAGGGCAGAAGTGGGAAGGCCAGTACCAGACACTGTTCTCTGGACTCTCAATTCAGTGATGTCCCAGAGGTCTCCTCCCACCGCCCTAGACTGTCTAGTACCAGGTCCACTCATCCAGGTAACTCACTAGTTAACTCACTAGCACCCGTTCACAAGGCAGGAAAGTTGTACTGAATGGAACCCGGGAGGGTGAGGCTCTCACAGGCACATGGCACTGGACATGGCTCTCTCAGAATCTTTAACTGTATGCCCCAGGACAACAGGGTCAAGGCCAGCCAAGGGGCTCGGGAGAGCTCTTCACCTGAGAGGGTTTCAGAGAGAAAAGCAGATCTTCCGAGGTGTCGGTGCTGAAGTTCTGGACCAAAGCCTTCACAAAAGGCATATCCACTCTGTCCTCCAAATTCTTCTCCACCAGGTAGAACTCGTAGTGTAGCCAGTATCTGCAAAGGGCCAGGGTTGGGGGAAGTAGGAGCCTGCAGGCTGAGTCACCCGCTCATCTGACCCAGAACACCAAAGATGCTGGGGTCACTGCGGGGGAAGACGGGTGGCTTGGGAATAACCAGGTCAGTCCTGAGGGATTCCAGCTAGGGGTCCCTCCAAGTATTTTATGTGTTTATCTTTTCTGTGATAAAAAAAATAACAGAATTTGCCATCTTAAAGTGTGCAATTCAGTAGAAATAAGTACATTCAAAACGTTGTGGGACTGTCCCCACTATCTAGTTCCGGAACACTTTATTATCTCAAAAGGAAGTCCCATATCCATTAAGCAGTCACTCTCCCTCCTCAGCCCGTGGCAACCATTAAATTTGCCTTCCGGCCTCTATGAGTCTGCCAATTCTGAATTGTTCAGGCAAACAGAACCGTACAGGAGGTGGTCTTTGGCATCTGGCTTCTTCGTGTGGTGTTATCAAGGTTAATGCATGTAGAATCATCATCATTATCTTATTCCTTTTTATGAATAAATATCATTTCCTTGTATGGATGTACCATATTTTGGTTACCTGTGGGAGGCCAACCTTACAGTACACTCCCCAGCTGGGTGCTGAGGCGCTCAGTCACAGAAATGGGTGTGTCTTGCTACAGCCCCATGGGTGAAGCTATGCTCACCTGTTCCTTTGTAATAGAACCCCTTGCCCTGTTTAGGATAGAATCTTCCATGGAAGGGCCTTGTGTGTGTCCCCTCCTCTTACTGTGCCCTTGGGTGTGGCCTACCCAGGTGTCAGTCAACCTGCTGACAGTAGACATCATGAAGATAGACTCAGCCCCCTGAAACCTGATCCCTTGTCTCATTTGAATAGCTTCTCCTCAATAAAAGGGGTCAGTGCATGCTCTCTCTCTCTCTCTCTCTCTCTCTTTCTGCGGACCCTTAAGGTCAGAGGAGCCGTCACAGCGACCCCAAAGAAAAAGGTATTTGTGTCTCTTGTGTGGTTATTTCGTGCAGCCCAGTTAGCCCAGTTTAACTAGAGTGACCCCTGAGCCTTTTAGTCACGAGAACAGAAACCCGGCAGTTACCCATTGATGGACCTTTGGATCTTTCCCACTTTTTGGCCAGTGGCAAAATTACGAAAATCCATGTGCAAACTTTTGCCTAAAGATTTGTTTTCAATCCTTACACAGGAATAGAATTGCTAGGGGACATGGTAATTCTACATCTAACCTCTGGAGAAGTTGTCAAACCATTTTCCACAACAGTTGCGCCATTTTGTAGTTGCCTAGCAACATATGAGGGTCCCAGTTTCCCCACATCCTTGCCAACGCTTAAAACCTTTCATTTTGGTTTCATTTTATTTTTAATTTTTGCCATTCTCATGGCCTAAATAAAAGGCTCATGGTGTCCCAGAGTTTTGATTTTCACTTCTCTAATGACCAGTAGATGTTGAGCATCTTTTCACGGGTGCTTATTGACCTTCTATACTTAAAATCTCCCCCAGGCACATCAGCACACTGCTTGAGTACTAACTCAACAGAGAGAAGCTTGGTTTTTGAGAACTGAGCTGCATGGGAACCGCCTGGGAACAGAGCTGGTGTTGGAACCATTAAAACAGGAATTAACTGGCATTCATTTTGTCAAGGCCACCCAGTGGCGCTCTCCGTGGTGCTGAAATCTTACCGTGCACCAGGATCCTTTTCCTAGGCATGGAGTCTCCAGAGCTCCTGCCAGCCTGTTCTAGAAATTCTGAGCAGGGGAAGGCTGAGGTAGTCATGGGACATAACGGGGAGGAGTGGAGATATGACCAGATGAAAGTTCTGGAAAGGAGTAACCATGGAGGAAAAAAGGGAGCCTTTTATTTTGCCATCATTCTTGAACAGTTGCTGTTATGAAGACAAAAAAAAAAAAAAAAAAAAAAAAACCCAGAGACTACAGAAAATATATTGTGCAATAGAAATAGCAAACCATGCAAATATATGCACACATGCTTTGGTGGAAAAGGCATGAGAAAAGCAGCCAGCCAGACAGATGGTCCAAACCCACTGATTGAGCTACACCAATTGACCCTAGCTTTCATTTACCTTTAAAATATCTAGACAAAGAAGTATGGTGACTTTTATTGCAATCAAATAAAATAACAAATTGTAGAAGTATTGTAATTTTGTTGCCAAATAAAACACTGAATCATATACATATATATTCAATTCACTATATATATTCACATGTATTCAATTATATATGCATATATATACATATACATGTATGAATATATGTGTTTATATTTATACATAAATATGTTTATATATATATATATACACACACAACACACACGTATTAAATTCATGCACTTAAACATAATTCCTTTGCTTTGCAAAACAACCCAATTCACTCCTGAGGACAATTTTCTGATCTGATTCTCAGGTGTAGGAATTCTTATAATTTTATGTGGCCTCAGCATATCTTTTTTTTTTTTTTTTTTAACCCAGGGGCACCTAACCACTGAGCCACATCCCCAGCCCTTTTCAGTTTTCATTTTGAGACAGGGTCTGGCTAAGTTGCTTAGAGCCTTGCTAATTTACTGAAGCTGGCTTTGGACTTGAGATCCTCCTGCCTCAGCCCCCGAGCCTGATATTACAGGTGTGTCCCCTGTGCCCAGCCTAAATATACATTTTGAATATCCACTGGACTTTCTCTTAGCAGAAGCAGGCCTCGCCCTTGACACAGTTTCCTGCTCTCCAGCTCCTCCAGTTCGTCCATGTGCTCAATCCAGTTATCCACCTTGTACAACTGTCTCTTAGTGACCACTTCCCTCTGGGACAGCCAGAAACATCACACTTGACTGGCGCCAGTGACCCACATCCCCCAAATGAACCATGCAGACGTGCACAATGACCACATCCCAGTCCTGCATGACCTACTAGAATTCACGCCTATTTCCTTTAACCCCACCAATAACTCCCCTGCAGAAATGCTTGAATAATGCCTCGGACCCCAAGGAAATCTTTAACACATGGATGTCTCTCTCTGTCTCTCTTTCTCTCCCTGGCTGCACTTCCTGAAGAGTGTGTGTGTGTGTGTGTGTGTGTGCACGTGCACACACATGCACGGTCTCCAGATGTGCCACAAACTCTCCAGGATCCATAAGTATAAAATATTTATTTCTATCTCATGTCCCTCCTAATTATTGAAGAGTGCTCTCCATTTTAAAGATCCTAAATCACAACATCAGCCCACTTTAAAATATTATTTTAGTTGTGAAATGGGATACATATTTAAAAGTTTAAAGCATAGATGTATGATTAAATATTATTATTATTATAATTATTTTCATACTGGGGATTGAATCCAGGGGTGTTTACCCACTGAGCCACATCCCCAGCCCTTTTTATGTTTTATCTAGAGACAGGGTCTCACTAAGTTGCTTAGGGCCTCACTAAGTAGCTGAGGCTGGCTTTGAACTCGTGATCCTCCTGCCTCAGCTTTATAAGCCTCTGGGATTACTGGCGTGCACCACCATACCCAATCTGTTTAAATTATTTTTTTTTTATTTTTTTTTTTTTTTAAATATTTATTTATATTTATATTTCAATATTTATTTTTCAACAGACACAACATCTTTTGTTTTGTATGTGGTGCTGAGGATCGAACCTGGGCCGCACGCATGCCAGGCGAGCGCGCTACCGCTTGAGCCACATCCCCAGCCCCCTGTTTAAATTATTAATCATAACATTGGCACTCATTGAAGTATCACCTTCTTTGATATGAATACAGCTACTTGGATTTCCCCTGGTTTACTTCAAATGTATTTTTTTTCACATTGTGCCTGTTTTTTCAAAATAAGTGCTATGAAATTCAAAAATGTGTCTTTTACTTTGAAGGGCTCTCCTCACATTCTCCAGACCTCCAAATGTCCAGAAACTTCTAGGCCTTGCACTCTTGTGGGGTTTCTCTCCTATCCTGGATGTCTTCCTGAGGCACATTAAAGATTGTCACGGTGGTTCTTATGAATAATGTCCCCACGGACATCTGAATTCCAGTCTCTATGGACATGTTTTCCTTCCTTTTAGGCAGATACCTAGGAATGAAGTCAGGGTCCCATCAACTCAGTGAATGTGAACAGATCCCCTCAAGGTAAAAGAGGAGGCTTTGGCCTTCACTCTACTTATTTTGGTAAAACGGGCCGAATGTGGGGAAGAACCCAACACGCAAACGCGCCTCATCAGATCTACTCAGCACACCAGGGGGAGCGCAGAGAGGAGCTTGCAGAACGTCAAGATGAAGAAGGTCTCTGTGAACTCTTGACAGAGAGCAGGAGAACTGGGAGAGCCCAAGTAATCACTGTGGCAGTATACAGTTGGTGCTGCAAGATTAAAGTAAACTGTTTACTGAAGATTGGTATGGAGAAAAAGCATTAGGCATGTGTTTGCTGTATGCCCATTGCCAGGGGCTGGGTTTATGTGCTGGAGCTGGCACACTCACGGGCAGCTGCAGGTGGCTGACCCCCTGAAGAAGTTCATCCTTGCCCCTTGGTCCTTCTTGAAGGCCACCTGACCGATGGGGAGTTGAGCAGGGCAATGTCACATCCCTGCTTCTTTCAGGTCTTGGATGGTGGCAGTAACCCCTATCAGTTCTTCCAGGGATGTGGTTTACTAACTCAATTGGAAGATGTACCAGAACCTTCTATTTAGCCTTCCATGAAATGCCTCTCAAAAGCAATTCAATGGACAAAGGACAGACTACCCTTTGTCTTTCATCCAGTTCTTTGATGAAAGAACTGGCTATCCAAATGCAAAAATGGTAATTACAGTAATAATGATCACAACATAAAGTTAGGCATTTGTCTCACATTGTGCACAAAAAATAATTCCAAATGGATAACCCAATTATAAGAGCTAAAATCAGACCCTTGCAGAGGAAAACTCAGGAGAAAAATCTATGTAACCTTGGGCTAGGTGAATATTTCTTTGATATGATATTAAACACACATATGCAAATTTAAATTGGGTTTCATCAAAAAACGCTTTTGATCTGCAACAGACAGCGTTAAGAAAATGAATAAGACACTGGTAGAAAAATATTTGCGAATCATACATCTGATAAAGGACTTATTAATAATAATGAGATTGTTAATAGTAAGAAGGCGAATCAATAAAAAGGGGGAAAATTTAAATACTCCTTTCACCAGAGAGAATCTACAAAGGACTCATAAGCTCATGAAGAGCAGCTCAGCTTCATTCCGCATTTATGAATGCAAATTAAAACCACAGCACAACATCACAGCACGTGCACTGGAATGGCTACCCCTGAATACACTGGGGGGAATTCAAGTGTGTAATACAATCAGAGCCTTCTTATATTCTTAAAGGGAATGCAAAGGAGGCAGCCACTTTGAGAAACAGCTTGTCAGTCTTTCATGACACAAAACACGCTTAACCGCGTAGCCCAGCAATTCCATTCCTTAGTGTCTACCCCACCCCGCAAGGGAAACCATATCCACAAAGAATTGAGTTCCAACGTTCATGGCAACGTTATTCAAAATAACCCAGAACTGAAGTCGATCCAAGTGCCCATCAATTGGTGAATGAATACACTCAATGTCATAGAGCTATATGATATGTATATTAGAATATGCTAGAAATATGATTGGAACTCAATGCATGCCAAGAGAAAGTAGCTAAACCCAAAAGACCACCTGTTGTATGGATCTCTTGAGATAAAATGCACAGAAAAGGCAAATATCAGACAGGAAATAGATCAGTGGTTGACCGTGGCTAGGAACGGGGGCTGGACTTTATGGCAAAGAGATACAAGGGTACCTGGGTGGACAGTGGGGAGGTGTTGTAAGCAACTGTGGTGACGAGTCCACACTCTGTGCAAATGCACTAGCAATCATTCACCTGTGTAGATGGTGTGGGATATATATCCCAATTAATCTATCAAAATTAATAGAAGCAAATGATACACAAGTATGTACTCGGCAGGGGCTAGAATTTAGAAGATGGATAATACCAAGCATCGCAAGGATGTGCGTAGCTGGAGCTCTCACACGTGACTGGAAGGAGTGTAAGTTGATAACACCCACCACAGAAACTATGGCAGTGCTTACTAAAACAAGCCACATGCCCATCTGTGACAGAGCACCTGCCCAATTCTCTTACTATTGGCCCAAGAGAAATAACACGTTCCAAAAAATGTTCACTCCCAGTGGCTTGAGAGGCTGAGGCACCAGGATCGCAAGTTCGAAGCCAGACTCAGCAAGGCTCTAAGCAACTTAGCAAGACCCTGTCTCAAAATAAAATATAAAAAAGAGCTTGGGATGTGGCTCGGTGGTTTAGTGCCCTTGGGTTAAATCCCCAGTGTTCAAACAAAAACAAAACAGAAAACGACCCAGGCTCCCAAAGAGCCTTAAATACACAGATAATATGTCCTTGAGGTAATTTTCATAGTTCTGAAGCTGCACCGTCTGAGTGCTGCCAGTGAAACCAAAACCCTCTATGAAGCCGAGCAGAGCTTCCGCAGTCTGTTATTTTCCTGTAGGGGACTGTAGACATAAATGGGAAAGATATTCCATACAGCTTTTAGAAGAATAGGAGGGCCTCTTCATGGGCTAGGGATGGGTGAGAATTTCGTAAACAAGACAGCAAAAACTTGACAACCCGCCCTATAACAAAATGAAGAACTTCTGGGCTTAGTCAAGACAGCACCGAGAGAAAGAGGTAACCCACAAGGAGGAAGACTATGATTCCCATGCGTGTATTTGTAAAGACAAGTATCAAGAACATGTGAAGAATCCCCCAAAATCAAAAAGAATAATTTAAACAACTTCATAGAACAATGAGCAAGAGGCTTAAAAGGGGCGCTCCGCCAAGAGGATATCTAGATGCCAAGTGAGCACGTGACAGGTGGGGACCTTGAACGTCATCAAGGAGCTGTCAATTATTATGAGTTACACTCGGAACCTGCCACATGGCTCAAGTGAGAAAGCAGACCATACCAAGTATTGACAAGGCTGCAAAGCATCTGGAACTATCATAAGCTGCTGGTAGGAGTGAAATTTGGCTCAACCATTTTGGATAACTGCTTTGCAGTTTCTACTAAATTTAGTGAGTGGGTCATACGTTTACCCTCTGACCCACCCTGCCTAGGAAAATACCTTACAGAAACACATGCATTCAACAACATACACCATCAGGAATGCTCATAGAACGCTCTTCATGTCGGCCATCCACAAGGAAGACTGGATAAATGAGTGGTGAGTTGTGTGTGACATAAGAAGCTAAAAAGAAATATTGCAAAGTTAAAATGATAGCTGTCCCTGGATGGTAAGATTAAGGGAATTTTTTTCATGTTCCTTTCCGCACCTATTTTCCAAATATTTTGTGATGAAGATATATTTTATGATGAGAAATATCATCAACATAAATAACACTAACATCTGTTGAGTTCTTACTCTTCACTCATAGTTCTTACCCGCATTAGCTAATCCTCTAAGCTCCATGATAACCCCCTGAAGAAGGCAGGAGAGCCCCGCAGCAAAGGCTTTGGATCAGCATTAAAATGACAGGGCTGACAGGGACATGGGGACAGTTGACATGTCTGGGTTATATATTCAGCCCTCACAATCGTTCTAAGGGGGAGGTGTTATTTTAGTCCCATTTTACAGCTGGGGAAACTGAGAGCTAACCCGTCCAAAGGCCAGTGCCACTTTTGAGCTCTGGTGGTCTCAGTCCAGCCTGGGCCACACGAGGCCCCTCCCTCACGTCCTTCTGAAGCTACAGAAGCAGCTGCGGGTGGGGATGGGACCGTTTTTTCAGGCCACCAAAAGAATGTAGTTCCATCAGGCTGCTGTCCCAACAGCGAGCCTGAGAGCACCAAATTTTCATTCATTCCTTCAAGGAGTAATTGTTGAGCCCCAGCTGGACGCCAGGCCCTTCTGGGGGTATTCGGAGGGGCGATGGGTGGAGAGAGGCAGGGGTATCTGGGGAGAGGGCTCTTGAAGGTGCGTTCTGAGGCCCTCCCTCTCCGCTCCCCCAGCTCACTCTCGCTCCTTTCTGCGATCTCACCTTGCTCGTCTCCCGGGGCCACCTGTCCTGCACAGGCGTGGGTCTCAGTCTCGGTTCAGCCTTTGCTGGTGTCCACCCCAGGCCTCGCACACGCTAGGCAAGCGCTCTACCACCGAGCCGCCCCCCAGCCCTAGTCACGGTTTCTCAAGTGCAAAGTCGTCCACACTCTTTGGGGGCTTGACAGTTGGCACCTGCCTGCTTCCCCAGGTCAGACCGGCTTCCTTGCTTTTATTTCCAATCTTATTCCCCTGCCTGTCCCTCTTGGCATCGTGGCCTCCATCCCCAGAACTTTATGCTTGGCAGCTCAAAATCCTGTCGTCTTTCCCAAATACTCTGAAAGTCTGATCACCCGCCACTGCCTGGGTTCAACCATAAAACTCCTATGTACTCTTCAGAACCCTCCTCCCTTGCCCTTTCTACAAAGGCAGACAGACTTTCCTCCTTTGGACTACCTGGCACCTGTCCACCCTTCGGTCACACACTGGAGTCACCATCAGTGGGGTTCATGTTCATGTCCGTCCCTCTACGACTGCCAAGGACAGAGACCCATTCATTTCTGCATCCCTTAGGTCAGGAGGACCCCCAACTAGCAGAGGCAGAGAGGAATCGCCAGGGGTGGGGGCTGCGACAGGGGGATGCGGGTGTTAAAAACAAGGCGGAGGGGAAGGTGGAGCCGCACCTTTGGAGACAGGCGGTCGCATCCTCCTAGTATTTCCCCTCCCCCACCGAGCAGCCCCGCCCCCAGGCCTCACCTCTCCAGCTTTTCAGGGTTGCAGGAGACATTCCCCAGCTGCAGGCACCTGGCAAAGCACTCCCCGGTGCGGTTCAAGTAGAAGGGGTCGTACTGGTCCTGGATGTCCAGCCCCAGGCAGAAGTTGCGGGGCTCTTCAGGGCCTGCCCCCTCGCCTAAGGGAGGGATGTGGAGAGTGAATGGCAGGGTGGGCGGGGCACCGGGGCCAGGAGGGACTCAAGAGTCTGTGATGGGGCCTGGAGCCCAGCCTCCTCCTCCACAGCGACGGTGCATCTGGCTGGACTCCGCCCACCCTGACCCTCCCTTTCCAAAGTGAAAGGAGACACCCCTGCCACCTCACAGGACTAGTCAGTGTAGATGCGGGAAAGATAGACAGGCAGATGGACAGATCACTTACACGAATTTACACTAATAGGATCACTTGGTGATATATCTTGAAGAGCTTTTCATCTCAGTCTTTATATAGTTGCATACTATTCCATCATATGGATAGCAAGACAATTTTTCACCTCGTCCCCTATTGATGGTATTTAGGTTTTTGGTTTGGGGCTTTTCTTTCCTCTTCTATTTTTACAAGTTGGAACAATGTTGCCATGACAATTCTCAAGTGTGCATCTTTGTCAGCTTGTGCTGAGAATTCATAAAAACATTCCTATCATAGGAAGTGCTAGATCAAAATGTATGTGTTTTTAAGCATTGCTAAATACGTGGGGGCTGGGTGTGTAACTCGGTGGTAGAAAGAACCCCAGCATGGCAAAAACAAAACAAAACAATAAAACCAAAAACAAGCCAGATGTAGAATACATGCTTAGCAGGTGCAAGCACCTGGGTTCAATCTCCAATGAATAAATAAGCCAACCTTGTTAAGAACTATTGAATTTTCCTTCAAAAAAGCTGCAGTTATAAGTACTCCCACCAAAAGTGGGCAAAAGTGGCTATCTGGTCACATGTTCATAAAACCAGCTTTTACCCAACTTCAAATTCTTGCCCATCCAAAAGGTGAACTTGAGAGTCTCATTCTAGTTTTAGGAAGGAGTCGGAGCAACTCTCTGTGTATTTGCTGGGCACGCAAATACTTGCTGGTATCTTTCCAAGGACTGCTTTGCCATTTGCTTCACACACTGGGGCAGGAAGGGAGTCTGGGCTCTGGGCATCTTCATCTTTCAGACCAGCCCACCTGGAGCAGTTTCCAGAGCCAGGTCTGGTGAGGTGGGCAGGGGGATCATTTAAACACCCTTCTCTGGTGTTACAATTAAAAAACTAAAAAATCACATGCAGTAGTACTTTCAACTTAAACTAGTTGGGTTTTAATATTATTGTTATTGTTGTTGTTATTATTATTATTTTAGTAGTAGATGGACAGACTACCTTTATTTTATGTATTTGCTTTTATGTTGGTGATGAGGATTGTGCTAGGCAAGCGCTCTGCCACTGAGCCACAACTCCAGCCCCTGTTTTTTTATTTTTAAGACAAAAAGTGTAAGGGGAATGATACTGGCCATCTTGTAAGGACATATGACCATGCATGTATGAGTATGTAACAATGTATCCCACCATTGTGTATCATTATTATGCGTCATAAAAAAAACGGGGAAGAGAAGTCCGCGGTAATTGTCATGGCAGAAAGGAGTAACCACGGGTTAAAAAGTAACATCTTACAGTTGATTTTATAATAGTCAGATCTATATGTGACGATGTTGTCTTCATTAGCTTACAAAGGAACTGCCCACTTAGGTTAGCATGTGAAGATTAAAGGCAGGTGCTCCGAGAGCCGCCCAGGGTGGGATCCTTTTCTGCCCTGGAGTAAAGGGTGGGTGGGGAGGAGGAGAAGGGGAAAGAGGGGGAGTGGAAGCTGACTTGGGAGGGAGCCGCCCTTCCTCACTGTCCCAGCCCTGCCCAGCCCTGCCTTCTGCCTCAGGCGCACAAATGTGCAGGAGCAGAGAGGCCCAGGGCGTGGGGGGACACGGCTGCCCTCTGGGGCTGTGCATTTCAGGAGGTCCCTACGGAAGCTCTTGGTGAGAACCCAGCTCAAAGAACATTGTTAAATAGCTTTTTGTGATTATTGTTTTTACCATGTCAGAAGCACTTAGCCCAGACAAGCAGATCCCCCAAACAGCCTCAGTGTGGAGAGATGCCACCCACCCCTCCAGACGCCCCGCCTGGTCCACCCACCCTGCCCCAGGCTGCTCTGTGTGGCCCAGGGAGGGGGCAGAGGTGAGAGGGGAGGCCCTCCCATGCCCTCCAGCCCCTCCCTCCTGCTCACCAGCCTCACTTTTCCTTGGGGACACCTTCCTCCCTTAGCCTTTAGACTCGGGTACTGAGAGCTTTCCTCAGAGGAGCCACTACGGGTGTTTGTCCCCCTCCTCCTCTCCCACCTTGGAAATGTGCCCTTTACCCCTGCTCAGCCTTCACCCTCAACCTCCACATGCGGGTCCCCAGCACTCACCCCAGGGTGAAGCACCCCTGTCTGTCTGCTAGACCGTGAGCCCCATGGGAGTAGGGACCAAGTGGCACAAACACAGGATCTATGCAGGACACCGTTGGTGCTTCTCGAATGAATGAATGAGTAAATGACCGAGTGAATGAATGAGTGAGTGAATCAATGAGTGGATGAGTGAGTTGCAAATGGGGACTGCCCCATAAACATCCCCAAAGGACAGAGTCTCACCTCTAGACTTGAACCTGCCGAGCTCCTTATGTCATTCAAATGGCTGCCCTTTCCCCCAAGCCCAGAGACCCCACACCACCATCAGGGACACGCCAGAGGAGCCTCGAAGGCCCAACAGCAAAGTATGGCTTTGGCGAAGACCCAGGTCCTAGGACACTCGTGAGGCCCGGTGATAGCCATCTCCCACTAAGTTAGCTTAACTGCCCGCACTGTGCCAGGCCCTCCCTGCCCACCAGAGGGGCAGCGCCACTGGGCACTGTTTTGAGGCAGAGACAGGAATTTGCACGTTGCTGGGTCTCCCAACATTTGAAGAGAAGAGGGGGCTTTGTAGCCCAGAGAGGCTGGTCAGAGCCTGGGCCCCTGCTTGCTCCCGCTGCAGTGAGTGGTCAGCACGTCTGTCTCCCTGATCCCAAGCTCTGAGGTCGGGCACCTCCTGCCCCCTCTGCCTGAACCACACTGGCAGCTAAGAGGGGCACACAGAGCAGGCCGGGGCGGGGGGCTGGAGGAGGGCTTCCTGGGAGGGAGGACAGCAAGGCAGGGCCCCAGCCTCCAGAGGCCCCTGGAGACCTCCCGACCCCACCTCTGTGTGTAGGGGCAGGAGGCGGAGGCAGGAGGCCTCTGGGTCCAGCTCGGGTCGCTGAGGACCTTGGGACACTTGGGACACAGGGAAAGTGAGCCCATGAGGAGTGGGTGGACGGCCGCATTCAGAGTGTCCCCCAACCCCCTCCCCAGAGTCCAGAGACCAGCTGAACAGCTTGTCCCAGAGCAGGCCTGGGAGGGAGCCCAGCTGGGATGGGGTCACTCTCCATCTTCCCCACCTGCAGGGCTCTGTGGAGAACAAAGGGGGCCTGCGACCACAGGATGACCACAGGACCACCGGACCCACCCAGAGGGACAAGCCTGGAGGAGGCCCGAGGCTGTGAGGTGGGCTCCGCAGGGGACATGCTCCGACCCCCCTTCCCTTCCCGCCTGCCCAGCCCACGGCTCTCCCCCTCCCTGCCCTGGCCCTCTTGCAACACAGGGTCTCCCAGGCTTGGCAGCAGGGGCTGAGGCACCAACGCTCACCTGAGGCCAGGAGCAGGAGGAGCAGGGTCCCCACGCCCCAAGGTGTCGCCATCGATGGCTGGCAGAGCCCTGCAGCTGTCTGGTCCTTTGGTCCCCAGCTCTGTCCCTCTGGTCTGCCTCCCCACTGCCCACCCCACTGTCGCTTCCGGTGACGGCCTCTTTCTCACCCTTCCTGCTCAGTGGCGCCATCGCCATCAGTTGTGAAACGTGACTATGGGGAACTAGGCAGTGTTCCCAGTGTCACAGGCCCTGAGACCCCCTGCAGAGGGACCCAGACTGAGCCCCACCCAGGGGCTGCTCCCACGGCCTGCCAGTGGGGCTAGAGTCGGTGGCAACAGGGGACTCTGTACCAGAGCAGACCCTGGGAATGGTGAGCGCCGGCCCCGGGTCAGGGCTCCACTCAGACACCTCCTCTTGCAAATGGGGACCTCATCTCCTCCGCAAAGCGCTGGTGGCAGTAGGTAGCCTCCTAGGTGGGGTCAGGATTTGCTGAGACAAGCCAGGCACCTGGCCTGGCTCTAGGGATGAGGTCGAGATGCTGGGCTGCCCCCTACTTTGAACGAAGCCGGACTCCAGCCCACAGCTGCTGGGGGCCTGGGAGGAGAGAGGAGTGGCCCCGCCGACCTGCTCAGGATAACAGGAAGGACAGGGAGGCAGGACGGTGTGGGGCAAGAGCACGGGCCCTGCCAGGGTGGTCAGGCCTGGGCTGACGTCTGTCCTAGCCACTTCCTGGCCAGGTGACCCTGCCTGGGCTATCTGCCACTCAGGGCTTGGGAGGAACTCATGACTGAGGCAATGGGGACTTGCTGGTGGGGGAGGGGCATTATCACACTGTCACTCGATGGTAATCAGTTCTGTGAATTAATCGTCATCCTCCCTAGACTGGTTGCTGCTGGCCCAAGCGGGAAGTGGGGGCAGCAAACACACGCCACCCCGGCTCCAACTCTGTGGCCTTGAGGAAGCCACAGGTGAGGCCAGGCCTTTGGTGTGTTCCCACGGCCACTCGGAATTCAAAAGGCAAAGGGCCCCCGTGTGTTGTCACCAGCAACCCCCAGACCCCTGGGGCGGAGGCTAGCCGTGTCGTACCTTGGGGAGCTACCAGGCCTTCCCTTCCACAGGGCGTCCGAACAGGTCTCTGCTGGGTCCTCTGGGCCTGGGGAGGGGTGGGGACAGAATTCAGGGTCACTCATGGGCTGTGGGCAGCAGGTGGGAATCCAGGGCAGAGCAGCAGCTCAGAACCCAGAGTTCCTGGGCCCCAGAACTTCCTAAGCAGGAAAGCTGGGACCCGCCGGACCTGCCAGCCTCACCCCGCCACACAGGCAGGGGCAAGGGGAGGCCTCCGTGCTGATGTGCCGGGCCGCGGCAGAGCCCCACCCTGAGCCCAGGCCCTCAGGGGACCAACAAGTGCCGGCTTGTGAAGGGCCCAGAGATCTGCAGCCGGGGACCCAGGGCAACCAGCCCCGTGGGAGAGGGACCAGGGGTGTGGGGAGGGTGGTAGGAGGTCAGGCAGGACCAGAGGAGCCCCCAGGACTATAGCTCTTCTGGGAAAGACCCTGTGGGGGCCAGGGGGCCACTGGAACCACTCACAGAGCCCTGGGTCCCCTAAATCTCAGGGCCAACACAACTGTGGCTACTTCTTCCACTACCTCCTGTCCCCAGCTTGTCCCAAAGGCTCTAGGAGGGCAGGGCCTCAAGCCCTCTGGTCAGACCTGGCCAGTATTCACCCACAGGCCATTCCATCCAGTTCCCATGCCACAGGGACACCCACCTGGTCATGTCCTGGGGGAGGGTGATCCCCTGGTGGTCCCCTTCCACAGCCCAGGAAGAATCCTCAGGGCCCCAGGAGCATCACAGAGCCTATCAGAAGATGGGACCGGACCCAAGAAACCCGAGCCAGCCACAGAACTATGTTCAAGAAAGAGGAGGGCTGAGGGGAGCCGTGCTCTGCCTGGGGGTGGGGTGAGGAGGAGGTGCCTCGCCCACCCCACCCCCAGCCTAGACCAGTGATGAGGCTCAGAGACCCTCTCACCCTGGCAGGGAGGCCTGCGGGACAGGAGCTGGCTCTGGTCCACTGGGCTGCCAGGCAGGCCGCTGGTGGGGTGAGGGTGTCCTTGGGAGGGGTCGAAGGTGGGGGCAGAGGCCACCTGAAGGAGTGGAGCTGGGAAGTACAAGGGCTCCTACATACAAGGTGCCCACAGGTCCCCAAAGATCCCATATCCACGCCCTGCCTATCTACCACAGCCACCACGGTGGCCTGGTGCCATCCTGCCCCACCGCAGAGCCCCGGGCCTCTCTCCCCTGCCAAGCTCCCCCTTGCGTTGGCCACAAGAGGAGGGAGAAGGCTGGGTTGGGGACCGGGGGTGGGGCTCTGACCCCCACCACAGTGGGACTGCATACCTGAGCACAAATAGTGGTGACCAAGGTGACCTGAAGGGGGACAGGAGCCTATGAGACCTCCTAATCCGGGTCACAGGATGGGAGGGGAGATCTGGCAGAACCCAGTTTAAAGGCAGAGTGGGGTGCGTGACCCACCCATCCCATTCCCGTAGCCCACTGCTTCAGACTGGCCTCTAACACTGACCACCTGCACCCCTGACCTGCGAAGTCAGCTCTCACGTGTCACCTCTCTGGCAGAGAATTTTTGGATTTGCCAAAATTTAAAAATCAACAGATTTAGCAACCCAATCTGGATTTCTCTTCAAAGGCAGTGATCTGGCCACAGGGGCCCTTGTCCCTGCAAGCACTGACCAGCTGGGGTCAGTCACTCACAGCCCCTCAGCTCCTCCAGTTCCCCACGGACCCCCTAACCCCCACCTCGACCTGCCATTTGTCCTCCCGCCCTCCCTGGCCAATGTTACCAGGGGCTGGTGTTTCCAGCGGCTGACTTTTCCCCCCACACTCCTCTCTTCCCTTTCCTGTTCCCTGATTGGCCCCGCGGTGTCTCTATCAGTGACACTTTTAATACAAGTACAAGAAAAAGCTGCAAAGGAAATACTCCAAGACCCCACACTGGTTTGTTAGACAATACCAACATCGGATTTTTATTCTCTTCTTGACAATCTTCTGAAGGTTCCAAATTCTCTACAACAGACATACTTCTTTTAATATCAAAAGACACAAATTGCTACTTACAAAGAACATCCTCGAAAAGAACACCAAAGAACAACCCCTCCCCCATCCTTAAGAGTGAGATGTAGAAGGGACGCTGCCTCCTGCAGGGAGTCCTCCTGGATTCTCAGCTGCAGCTCTGGCCCCTGATCCGCACCTGGGCTCCGGTGGCTCCTCAGCTGTCGGCGTAGGCTTCACCTACCAGGCCAAGACTGTGCAGAGGGCGTGGCCAGATCCGGTCATCTGTGTCCCTACCATCCAGCCCAGGCTGGCAATGGACCAGCGTGGGTTTGTAGGCAGAATTCACCATGACGGTGTGTCCCGGCCATTTGCAGGGATTTAAGGAGACTCCTTAGGAGGCATCAGGCTCAGGCCAGTGTCCCCAGAGCAGGACAGCCCAGCCTTCGGGGTGCTGGGATGGAAATTAGACGAGGCTCCTGTGTTCCATAGTTCTTGCCATAGGAGGGCAGGGCCGGCCCCTCTGGAGTGTGAGCAAGGGGGGAGGCAGCTCAGAGAGAGGCCCAGCTGGATGGATGGCCGGGCCAGGCAGTGGGTGGAGGGTTAGAAATATGTTGGCAGATGGGCAGAGCGACTGGGGGGCTGGTGTTGAGGCAGGACTGGGCTCAGGTGGGTGCCCTGCAGCTCACTCTGGAGAGGAGGCCTCTCCTCCAGTGCTCCAGCTCAACACTCTGCCTCAACCCACTGGCCCCCACCCTCAGGTTAAAAGGACAGGAGCTTCAGGGTGCCGCCATGGTGATCACCAGGGACCGAGTTGCTACCGCCATGTTTTTGTCCTGGGTAGGGGCACAGGCTTGGGATGCCTGTGGCCTCCATGACCCAAGGCCTGAGCCTGGGGCCTGCAGGTCCCACCCAACAATGAAGGCTGGGCCCTGGCGTGGGCAGGAAAGACAAGGCTTCAGCCCCAGTTCAGACAGCTGTGGGGACAGTCCCACAGCCTCCGTGGCAGTATGGTGAGCCCTTTGGAAGCTGGACCTGGGAGCCGAGTAGTCCCCAAGGCCAGATGGATGTCTGGTTGCCGTGGTGACAGTCCGTCCTCCAGGGTCCTCGGCCTTCTCTGGCCGGCCACTGGCTGTCAGAGGTGGTGCTCAGCCTGGGGGCCGTGGGCAGCACGAGCAGAGGCCTCGTCTCTGCGTCCTCATGCCGGGCAGCAGGGCTGGAGGCCTAGATGCGGCTGGACGAGGTGCTGCCCGAGCTGATGGGCAGCCGGGCGCTGTCCGAGCTGCTCTTCAGAGGGGAAGGGCCGCCGCGAGCCTGCAGCCGCATGGACCAGTACCAGAGGAAGATGAGGAAGCCTGCGGGCAGGAAGCAGGGCAAGGCTCGAAGACAGGGCTCGGCTAGAGGACAGGGCTCGGCTGCTGGGGCAGCCCCACAGGCCCCTTGAGCCCCTCCCAGGGTCACCTCGACTCAGATCTACCCTTCGACTCAGAATTCTCTTGAGTCCCTTTCAATTTCACAGGCCAGAAAATGAAGACTCAAAACTTAGGAGTCTAGATGGTGTGGGGAGGGGAGAAGGAGGGTGCAGGAGGCGCCTCGCCCCACCGGCCACGCCCTCAACGACCACACCCATCGACCACGCCCCAAACGGTCACGCCCCCAAATGGCCACGCCCTCACCGGCCACCTTCAGCCACACCCTCACTAGCCACACCCTCTCTAGCCTCGCCCTCACTAGCCACCTTCAGCCACGCCCCCTCGCTGTTCCAAATGCACAGCCTCCTTCCAACCTCAGAACCTTTGTTCCTACCTCTCCCTCGGCCCAGAGCTCTCCTCCCCAGGCCAGGGCTCCTCAACCTCTATGGACACGCGAATCCCCTGGGCATCTTGTTAAATGCAGATGTGACCACCAGCGCACACACACACACACACACACACACATATTCGAGCTCCCTGGTACGTGCTGTTGCTGGTCTGTGCCGCACACTCTAGATCTCTCCATGGCTGGACCTCTGTTGTCCTCAAATGTCCTCCCAGGCCACCCTTCCTAAAGCATCCCCGCCCCAGCCTGGCCGCTGTCCATGACATTGCCTGACTCTCTATTCTCTGAGGTGGTGGGGGGCTGCCTGTTCTCTGGCTCATGCTCAGCCTCCCCACCAGCACAGAGCAAGGCCCTCCTCCTACGGGCTCACCACAGTGGCCGGGGCTCAGCACAGGGCCTGCGCATGTGAGGTGCCAATACAGCCTGGTCCACCGTGGCCCGGATGGGAAGACTGAGGCCCAGAGAAGGAGAGCCTTTAGCTTGCCCCGGGGCCTCCCTTCCCTCACCTACACTCCCGGTGTGGACAAGCCGCCTTGGGGGGGACCAGATCCTCCCCAGACCTACCTTGGAAGGAGGTGACGATGCTGAAGAGGTAGAGGATGACGAGCTGGAAGGTGCCAGAGGCAAAGGAGAAGAAGACCAAGGCCCAGGGCAGGCCGAGGACCAGGCTGAGGCCCAGCAGCGTCAGCACGTGGGGCCACTTTTGATTATGGGGGCGCAGCCGCAGGATCTGCACCACCATGGTGCCCAGCATGGCCATGTTGAACAGAAACACCAGGCTGAAGAGGCCGAGGTTGGTGACGTAGCTGACCAGGGAGTCCCGGATCCAGCACCTGTGGCAAGGGCACAGGGCTCAGTGCCCAGCCAGCTGGACCAGCCAGCTGGTCACTGTTATGTCATGTGCTGCTTATTTTCTATTTACAACATTGGTGTGATTTTTTTAAACACACTGAAGTTGCCAAGTTAGACGATTTAAAGAAAAATATTAAGCCAGTCCTGATATGGATGGTAAAGGGGGGAGGCGGGAGCCACAGGCCATGGTGTAAAGGGCTGATCATGTCAAAAACACGGAGCCAGGGGATTCTTCCTTCCCGGCCTGGAGGTCAGGAGCTCTCGCTTCCAATCTAGGGTCAGGAAGTCCTCAGGCAAGGCCACCAGGTGAGTGGAGGGGGCTGGGATCAGCCCCACTCATCTCCAGCTGGGAGCCTTTGAGCAGGGCACTGGCTCCGTGTGGGCCGGTCCCTCTCTGGACCTCTGTCTGTGTGGGAAGGCACAGCAACCCTGCCCAGCAGCCAGTGGGGGCCCCTCTGCCCAGCCCCACCCCCTCCATGGATGAGGCGGCTGAGGCTCACAGAAGGGCAGGGACCGTCGAATGGTCACCTGGTAAATTAATAGCAGATCTAGATTTTTATTTCCCTCCATGATCCTTAGCCCAGTGCTCCGGCCACCACTGAGCCAATCCCTCCAGTCACGGGAACCCAGGGTCTCCTGGCCAGCATGGAAGGCACCCAGACTGCTCTCTGTCCCTGCAGCCAGGGTCCACCTTCCTGCCCCGCCACCAGGCCACTCACATGGAAGGGTAGATGACGCTCACTGGGGTCCTGTGCACAGCCAGGATGATAGGGCCGTAGTTGTTCACGTCCACCAGTGCCACCAACGTCACCAGGAAGATGGGGAAGCCTGAGGGCAGCAAGGCCTGGGGCTGCATCTCCACCTGCTGAGGCCACCTCCCCTGCCCTCCAGCGGGTCTAGGGGTGAGACCCCCTCCTCAAGCCTTTGCTCCCAGAGCCTGCCCAGCCCCATCTGAGGTCCCTGGGAGGAGGGACCACAGCTGTGTGCCAAGGTCTAGATGGTGCAGGGGAGGGGGAAGAATGACAGGACAGTAGTGGGGTGGAGGCCGGTGGTTCCGAAGGGCAGCAGAACTCTGGCCAGCAAAATCTGCACTGGCCTTGACCTTGTCCATTCCCCGACCTCTGCACACCTGGGTCTTAACACAGAACCAACTCAAGGACTTCATGTTACTGGAGACAGTGAATGAAGAGGTGGCCCATAAGGCCCCAGGAGGAGCAGCAAGGTGGGGTTAGGGACCATGCAATGGTGTAAGTCCCTGGGCTCTGAATCTGACATGACTGGTCTGAGCCATGGATGAAATGAGCTCTGGTCAAGAATAAAATTCCAAAGCCACAGAGGATCTGTTACCTGAGGTTCAGGGGGACCCACAGGCAAGGCCACTGTGGCCTGAGTGAATTAGGTGAGTGGCACAGGACCTGGCTTCAGTCCACTCATCTCCTGGCTGGCTGCCCTTGAGCAGTGTGCAACCTGTCCATCCATACCTGGTGGCCCTTGTTGCAAATTCCCTTTTGAATGGAGTGAGTGGTGTGGAGAATTGGGAAGTGTTTCTTGGGGACAGGACTCACCACTTTATCTTCCTAAAGGGGAGCTTGTTCTAGCCAGGTGAAGGACCCCTGCGGACGGGCAGGGGAATGAAGCAGTAAGGAAAGTCAGGGAGAAAGGTGGAGAAGCTGAATCAGCTACCTGTGTTCTGCCCGAAGACAGTGGGAGCAAGGGTTCTGGGGCCAATGCCCCCCACTTACCCCAGCCCACGACACTCATCTTGAGCATGTAGCCAGGGACGTAGGTGCCGAAGACCTCGACCACCAGGCGGTAGAGGTTGTAGCCCTCGAGGCCCATCCAGGAGAGGCAGGCGAGGAGGGAGAAGTGCAGGAAGATGGCGCTGGCCCGGCAGCCGGCCTCGGAGCCCGTCAGCGCCACGGGCTCGCTGAGCAGGAAGCTCACGTCCAGCAGGAAGACGGCCAGCAGCAAGTTCATGTGCACCTTGACCGTGTAGTCCCGGGGCTTCTTCCTGCGGGGGCGAGGCCACCTCAGTGAGCGCCTCCTCTGCTCACGCATGCGTTCCAGGCCGTTCCCTGTGGACCTACTGTGTGCCTGGCGCGCACCTACTGTGTGCCTGGCACCTACCTCCTGTGTGCCAGACACCGTGTGCATGTTTAGCAGCAGTCTTGGCAGGCAGTGAGGAGAACAGAGCGGCTGTGACAATGAGCCAGTCACTCCCCAAATGGAAGAGGACACTGGGGAATCCAGGCCACTGTGCTCCGTGTCTGCCCTCTGTCCTCGCTGTGCCTCTGAGTGCCGGGGTGCGTCTGTCTGCAGATCAGTGTGTGACTACCCTGCTCCAGGGTCCCAAGTGGCCCCAGAAGTGCAGCACACGAGCCCCAGCGTCCCCAGCCTGGGTGTGTGGCCCTGCACTGTCCCCAACTCAGGGCCCACCCTGAACCCATCCCTTCCTCCTGGGACTCCCAGTTGTACATCTGTGAAGCAGGAGGTGGGTCTCGCAGGTCGGGGTCAGGGTCACACTGGTGCAAAGCCTGGCACTAGTGAAACTGTCACCTCCTACCAGCCCTGTCCCTGAGCTGTTGGGCGCATTGGTGCTCAGCCAGGTGCTCTGCCCCCCAGCCCACCCGGCCTTCCCCAGGCCCATCAGCTGTCCCTCCTCATCACCATCACCTGCTGGCCCCCCAGGTGCACAACGTGGTCACAGACGTGCTGTGGCCTGTGCCACACGTCATTCGTGCACACGTGTGCTCCCCGCACACACCTGTACACACTCTCCCATTTTTAAATGGTGGCAATTAACTACACTGTGTAACGCTGTTATCCAAACACCCGGGGCGGGGATGAAATGTGGCCCCGGGGGTCAGCTCTCCTCCCCCAGCCACACACACATGTGGGGACCGGGCGGGTGGGCCAGTCTCCCCGGCTGGGGGGCCCTCACCTGGAGCAGAGGTAGGCGGCGATGGTGAAGAGGCAGGCCAGGGCGGAGACCACGCAGCCCACGTAGGACAGGAGCGTCAGGTAGTTCCGGTGCTCAGCGCCCACCTCCGCGGAGACCTGGTCAGGGGACGGGGTGGGGCTCAGCGCCCAGTGCGCACGGAGGGAACCCGGTGCTGGCCCCGTGTGAACTACAGGTGGGTCCCGACTCAAGGGCTCAACCTGGGATTGTCCCACTTTATCATGGTGTGAAAATGACCTGCACCAGCAGGGGACAAGCTAGGGACCCTTCCGGGGATGCTGGGCACGGCCTCACAGACAGCCGCCAGCCTCTGCCGCGCTGTGCCTAAGCTGGAATGTTCTGTGGCCCCGCAGACTCAGTGCGTTTGTTCTTTCCTTTTGGGCACCGGGGATTGAACCCAGGGACACTCAACCCCTGAGCCACATCCCCAGACTTTTTTATATTTTATTTAGAGACAGGGTCTCGCTGAGTTGCTTAGTGCCTCACTAAATTGCTGAAGCTCGCCTTGACCTTACGATCCTCCTGCCTCAGCCTCCGGAGTTGCTGGAATTCCAGGCGTGAGCCACTGCACCCGGCTCGGGACATTTTCAACTAACAGTTGGTTTATGGAGACATGTCTGCATCCTAAGTCAACGGGTGTATACTCTGTAATTTTTCCATAATGTTTCTATAACATTCCATGTGAGGACTGGTTTGCTGCAAGGGAGTGAGCTTCCCACGCCCAGGGGATTCCAGGAGCAAGAACTTGAGACACAAATTCTTTGAGATCTTGGAAGTACTGAAGCCGGCCTCGGGGGCCTCCATGCTGGGCCTCAGCCTCCAGACAGGGACTCAGAAATACACTCCTGGCCCCAGCCCTGTAGGTTAGCAGTGAGAATCTACACTTTCATCACGTACCAATGTTTAGGACTAAAGAGCGCGGGCTTTACAGACCATCTCTTTTTAAAAACAGAATCAGCTTTGTGATCTTGGATAAGTTGCTTAGCCTCTCTGAATTTCAGTTTCCTTATCTATAAAATGGGACGATGACAAGAACTGCCTTGGAGTGTAGTAATGAGGACTAAACAGATTAATAAGCGACAAGTGCCGGGCAGGGGACAAGAATTCAGCCCGTGTTAGGGGTCAGGGGAGGGGCGCCCACCATCAGCACTGCGAAATAGGTGAGGTGGTTGCAGAGGCAGGATGTGTGCGTTTCCCTGCTGATGGTCTCGCACCCCGCGTTGCTCCAGCTCCCGGGGCTGCTCACTGAGGGGGGGACAGCATGAGGCTCCATCAGTGCCAGTCCCCCAGGACCCCACTGTCCCCACCCCCTCGCCCAGAGGCTGACTGCACCCTGATTCCAGGACTTTGCTCCATGCCCCCGGTCCCGCCCCCGGTCCCGCCCCCGGTCCCGCCCCCAGACTCCCCTCCACACTCACTCGTGGGGTCTTCCACCCAGAATACACACTGTAGGGTCACGTTCTTCTGTGGGGACAAGAAAGGAGGAGAGCGGGTCCCATTGCGGCCCGGCAGAGAGGGTCAGGCCGCGCCCACCCCAGCGGGAAGGCGAGGGGGACGCGCCACAGGGACCCTCGCTGCCGTGGGTTCGCGCACTCACCGGCTGCGGCTGGTGCTGGAAGGTGAGCACCACGGGCTCCGGGAGGTTGGCGACTTTGGTGTCCTGCACCACGATGCCCAGGACCTTCTCACCCAGAACCTGGCTGGCATTTTTATCCTGATAGACGGGGTGGGAGAAGAGATCAGGGCTGAGGAGAGAGGCTGGACGTCCCCCGGCCTCTGCAGACTGGCATCTATCCCAGCCCTGAGCGCCTCGCGGGTAGTCATTCACACTGTAGTGAGAACAACCACACTTCAGCCTCTCGCAGGCTGTGCTACGTCTGATTTTGGACTTGACAGGGAGAAGCTCTGGCTCCTGGAGGTGGGGGCCGACAGCATGCTCTTCCCAACACTCTGTCAGACAGAAGCCCATCCTGGGGGGCGGGGGGGGCGGGAGGACGCGGGGTACCTGGAACAGGGCCTGGCTGCTGAAGTCCACCAGCAAGAGTCTCTTCTCGGCCTCCCCTCTCCGGCCTTTGCCCTGCTGGAGGAGGGCGCGGGGCAGCAGCACCGAGTACTCCCGGACCTGGCTCTGCTCCTCCTGCGGACACAGTCCCCAGGGCTCAGCCCACCATGGACCCTGACCTGCCTGCGGCGCACCCAGGCCCCTCCTCCACACTGCGCTCTGAGCAGCCTCCTCTGGAGGGTCAGGCTGGACCAAGGACAGTCCTTCCAGCCGGCTGTGGCTGGGGAGCCCGTGGTCAGACCCAGGGGCGCGAGGCCTGGGAAGTCCGAACGGGTTTGTTGTCTGGGCCCTCAGACACCAGCCCAGCCTGTAGCATCCTGGAGTGGTGGCAGCGAGGGAGGGGGTGACCCACTAACAGACGCCCTCACAGGGGCCTCAGGACACAGGGTGGAGAGCAGACCCTCGGGGCAGACCCTGCCCTTGCCACTGTGACTCAGCACTGTGACAGCCATTGACCCCAGGGTGGCCCTGGGCCTGGAATCTGCCCGAGAGGCCCCAGGGAGTGGCCCCAGGGAGCGGCGGGGGTCCTGCCCTGCAGGGACAGGTCCTGGCCTGCGCTTCCACTGCCCGCCCCGCCGCTGACCCTGGCCCCGCCGCTGACCCTGGCCTCACCTCCTGCCGGGAGTGGATGTGCAGGTCCTGGAGGCTGGCGCTGGGCTGCAGCTTCCACACAGTGGCGTTGACCAGGTCCTCCTCGAAGGACACCGAGTCCCCGGGAAAGCTCACGGCGGCCAGCTTGGACTCCAGGCTCTGCAGCTGCCTGGCCGGGAGGAGGGGTGTGGGTGACACACGGAGGGACACCCCGGCGGCAGGGAGACGCAGGCACAAAGGGGGGACTGGGGCAGGGGCGGGGATGAGGAGGGAGGGGACAGGAGGACAGGCAGACCGCAGGTGTGGGGGGGACCGGCCTGGAGGGCGGGGGACAGGCAGTGGCTCCACCGTGGGCCAAGGCTGTGCCATCCTGGTGGGGAGTGGCCTGGGTCCCTGCCCTGGGCTGGCTGTGACATTTGTCTTCACTGGCCTTGGGGCTTGGCCTGGGGCCACACGTCAGCTCCAGAGAAGAGTCCAGCCCAGGAGGCTCCGGCCTCCCCGGCAGGTCTCCCTGCCAGCTCCGGTCTGCCCGCCTCTACCCGCCTCTGCCCGCCTCGCGCCCAGAGCACACTCACTGGCTGGCGAGGGTGGACGAGGGCCTCCTCGGGGACTTCATGGGCTGCCTCAGGAGCCGGCTGAGCATCCCCAGGTCCCTCTTCAGGTCACACATGTCCCAGGAGGCGTTGGGCAAGGCCTTCTCGGTGGGCTCTGGGGGAGGAACGGACGGAGCCCCTGAGGCTGGGGCCGAGGTGCCCGTTCCCGACCCTCAGTCCTCAGGAGACTCTCCGAAAGGAAGTGAGTGGGCCCCCAGGCCACCCAAGGATGAGGCCAGCCACGGGCCGTCTTCTAGGACCCTCCAGCAGCAGGGGGGACCCTGCCGGCCAGGCCTCAGCGGGAGGGATGTGGGGCGGGTGAGGTGGTTCTGGGGACTCTGCCCCACCTGCCTCCGGGCCCCACCAGCCTCCCTGACTCCAGGCTCCCTACTCTGGGCAGCCTGCGCCTGAGGGTTGTAGGACCAGACGGGACCACTGGGGTGGGCAGATGGAGACAGTGGCCTGTGCCCTGTGCCACGAGGCAGGCAGGCCCTGGGGGTCTGAGCTTTTCCATTTATAACCCAGAGAGCCTGGCTATGGGCCGACATGAAAACTCCGGCTAAACCCTCTGCGCCCCAAGCCCAGGCGCCTGCTCCTCAGGACACGTGGAGAGAGGCCACCTGGGGGCATCCCTAGCCCTGCCTGCCACGCTGCAGGGCACCGGGCCAGGCCCACCCGACCACCCTGGGACCTTCTCTGGCCCCGACCTGCTGACACATCGAGGGGCTGTGTCCCCTGTCCTGGGGACCCCTACCCCCAACAGCAGCTGTCTGAGAGGAGCAGCAGCAAGAAAACCCAGACCCCCGGAAGCCTAGCGCCCTCTGCCAGGCGCTTTCCACGCCCTTGGGAGGTGGCAGCCACATGGCACCTGCCACACCACCCTCACCCCTGCCTGAGGCTCACACTGAGTCTCACTCCTCCCCTCCTCAGGCGCCCTCTATGGCTCCCCAGTGCCTGTGGCCTGAGGCTGTCTTACTGTGGAAGGAGAAGGTGAAGCCGGTGGCACCCGGCAGGCTGCTGTTCTGGGGGCTCCACCAGGAGCTGACGGAAGTGGCGAGCAGCAGGGGCCCCTGGCCCCGACCTTCCTTTTGGTGCTGGAAGCAGAGGAGGTCTGAGGCCCGGTCACTCAGCAGGAAGTCGTTTTTGCCATAGCGAAGGTGGAATCTGCCCGTGTGGCGGGTCCAGTAGAGGCAGAAGTGGTAGAGGCCCCTGGGCTCGGGGAAGGCCCGGGAAGCCTCGGGGACCTCGGGAAAGGGGGCGTGGATGGTGAGGGCGTCCTCGGAGTTCCTGATGGAGATGTGCAGCTCCGGCGTCTGCAGGTACTGGAGCCTGCTCCGCTGCGTCTGGTTCCGCTGGCCACAGAAGCGGAAGTCTTCCCGGGGGCCACCACCATGGGCACCTGGGAAGGCAGAGGCTGCAGCAGGGACCCATGGCAGAGACTAGCCAGGGGACATGGGAGGGGACAGGACCTGGGCTGAGAACATGTGAGCCCAGAGCCGGTGACACCCACGTGTTCCTAGGGCCTAGAGAGCAAAGGGTCTACAAAAATGTGTGGGTCCCTGGCTTCAGCTAGGCGCAGTGGTGCACGCCTGTAATCCCAGGTACTCCTGTAATCCCAGGTACTCGGGAGGCGGAGGCAGGAGGATCACAAGTTCAAGACCAGCATGGGCCACTAAGTGAGACCCTGTTTCCAAATGAAAGGATATAAAGGGATGGGATGTGGCTCAGCGGTAAGGCCTTCCTAAATTCAACCCTAATACCACATTAAAAAAAAAAAATCTGGCTTCAAAAATACGAAAAGAGAAAACTGAAAATAAATAATAATTCCAAAGGCAAAAAAAAAAAAAAAAGAATTTTAATGGCAATAAAGTATCTCATGAGGACACTGTTACTACGTCCTGTTGTGCAGGCTGTATACTGTCCAACAATATTTGCTGCCAAGGTGAGCAGAGCATCTCTGAGGACGAGGCCAGGTACAGAGGTTGCTAAAACCCAGTTCATGGTCCCCATCCCAAGGAGCTGTGTGCTTGTGGGGTTGCATTTGCCAGAAGAAGGAGGTGACCATTTCTTTTCTCCAAAGCACCATTCCAAGCCAAGTGGACCCCCAGACCCATACTGCCCAAAGGGGCTGGCATGTGCGGCTCCTGCCTTGCATGGGGACATGATAGCCCCAGGGCCCCTGGGGAAGGCCTACCTTTAGCCAGGAAGAGCAGACTCAGGAGGAATATCGGCACCCGGGCAGCCATCATCCTCCCCGGAAGTCACCCGGGAAGTCACCACCTGCAAGAGACCCTGAGTGTTGGCTGGGAGCCAGGACCGTGGCTGCGGGGGGCTGCCCTGCGGAGGGCCGGCTGGGCAGGCGGGAGGAAGCGGCCTGAGGCTGCCTTGGCCAGAGGCTGAGCCTCCAGGGCCCTGCTCGCCCACTCGCTGCGGGAGCCCGATGAGGCACATGCAGTGGCTGAGGACAGACCCTCCGGGCCCAGGAGCCGCGGGGTAATCTTGGGGGTGTTCCACCTGCAGCCGTCTGCGCCTTGCCCCTGCCAGGCCTGGAGGAGACCTTGAAAAACGGGGCTCTCGGAGGTCTCCCACAGCGACCGCACGGCGGCCCCGATCGTCCCTGGACCTAGCGCAGAGGACGCCTCCTCCAGGAAGCCCTTCTCCTTTGGTCAGTCCCAGCCTCCTGCGGTTCCCACCGCTGGCCAGAGCCCTCTCTCAGCTTCCCCTGGGCAGGGAAGGGTGGTCAGCCTCTTCTCGGTCACCCAGGGAGCCCCTGGTCCGTCTCTGAGGACGAGGCCAGGTGCAGAGGTTGCCTGGAGAGGTGAACGCTGCGCCCACATAGAAGGATCAGCGCCTCCACGGCGCCCCCTACAGGGGCTCAGGGGAAGGGCGTCTCCCACCATGACCAGCAGGGGGAGCTGCGGCCGGCCCTGGGCCGCTGGAGAGCAGAGTCTTCACCAGAAACCAGACCCAGCTCTGCCCCTTCCCGCCCCAGGGCTGAATGGGCACCTCTGACCACCCACAGCTGCTCTTGGCTGACTCCTGCTACCTTCCAGCCCCCTGCCCACCCCTGCCCCTGCAGGAATCCTCCCGCGGTTCTGGGTCGGCACCGCTGTTGGGTGAACAGTTGGGACTTAAATGACTTGCGCAGGAATGCTCCAGGCTGGGGGCTTTTCTTGCCTGGTCAGGACCATCGTGACTGGTGCCCATACAGACAAATGCCGGTGGCTTGGCCTTCTGACCACCAGCTGGCCCAGGGACCACACTGCCGGCGGACAGCCGTCCTCGTCCTGTGGGGAGCCGTGTCTGACCACAGCAACACATGCAGTCATCTGCCACAGAGAGGCCGGGCCACCCAGAGGCATGCGAGGAGGCTGAGTTTGGAAGAAATCAGGAGGGCTTCCCGGAAGAGGCAGCTTGGGCCAGAGGTTTGAGGGCAGCACAGCAGCATGAGGGGACCTAGAAGGATCTCATGTCCTCCCGGACCAACCCTCCCTACGCCACTGTGGCCCTGATGTAAGGTCCCCTGTGTCCCAGCCCGAGGGATAAACCTGACTTCGGGGCCTCATGGCTGCAGTCACATTGCAGATGGATTTGTCACCTTGCCCTGGTGGCATCACATGGCCATTTGAGAAAAAGGACGTGAGAGTATTTTAGGGAAGGGCTGCTGTTTCCTGGGCTGTGATTTTAGGGCTTCGCTCTGTCCTCTGTAAGCCTTCAGGTTCCTCAGACCAGCGGAAGGAAACCCAGCATCCGGGGACAGGACAGATCCCTCCCAGACCACCTCCTTCCTTCTGTCTGCCACCCCCCTCTAACCTCAGGCCAAATGTCACTTCTTCTAGGCAGCCTCCTCCCAGCATCCCCTGCGACGTTCATCCACCGTGAACTTGAAGTTTACAGATCACTTTGAGAATTGGCTCTAAATTCTCCATTTGATGATGGTTGTATCTGAGGCCCAGAGAGAGCCAGTGATTTCTTGAGGTCACACAGCAAGCTAGGGTGGAGCTGACTAGAATTCACGTGTATCTCTCGGACCCACTGACCTTCAAAGTGAGTCGCGATTGTCCGGAGACAAGAAAGACCCCAGGAGAGGGCAGAACCATTTGCATCAGCCCCCCTGAACTGGCCCCTGAGAGCAAAAGAGGCAGGCCGGGAGTGAGGTCCCTGTCACTGAAGGATTCAAACACACACAAGGGCAGGTTGTTCCTGACACTTCATGGCTCATTCCATTCCACTCTGGTTATTTGAGTAACCACTCCTAAGAGGACAGCTAACACTTCAGGTTTGACAAAGAGGGGCCCCTGGACTCCTTCAACCCACCCGAGTGGAATGGACTCTGGAGCCCGACTACCTGAGTTCCAGTCTCAGCCCTGCACTTATGGCTGTGTGTGCTTGGACTCGTTACTCACTGTCTCTGGGCTCATTTTCCTCACCTGTATTGAGGAATAAAAATGAAGCCTACCTCAAGGGTCGTTGTGGCAAAGAGCCTAGGACATGCCGTTGCCACAGGCGTCGGAGAAACAGCTCTGTAGACTTTCTAAGCGGCTCATGACCCAGCCCTGGACCTCCCTCCCCCTCCCCTGCCCTGACCCCAGCCCCACTAGTGGCCAGCTCAGCTCCAGGTCACCTCAAGGGGAACCTTGGAGCACAAAGCCTGCTTTCCGGAAGTACAACGGCAACGCGGAAACCCCACCCAGAAAATTCCCTGCTCACAGCCCTGGACCCAAGTCTGCAGAACCCCGGGGCAGGACCGCTGGGCTCCAGACGGAGATTCCAGATTGGGCAGAGCCAGGGTGCTGTCCACTTAGCATCCCCTTTGTCCCCTACTGGTCCCACCCACAGGTCTGCTGCCACCCAGCCAGCCCACCCAAAGGGCACGGGCAGTGTCCACGATGGAGCCCCCAGTGTCCCCAGCAGGGCTTTCCGGTGCCCAGGTCACCACCCTGGGTGTCCACCACCTGGCTCAGCCAGGAATGAGGGGGCCTGGGCCCTGGAGACCGAATACCAGAACCAGGGGCTCGCAGTGGGCCACAGGGGCCTGCCCACCTGGGCTCTGGAGGTGAGGAGGGTGGAGCTGGCCAGACCCCACCTTTAGGAGTCTCAGTGCGAAGCCCCACCTGCAGCAGGCCCTGGCCTCCCCCACAGCCCTGGCCGGAGCGGAGAAGGGGCCACAGCAGCACACCCCCGTGGTCACAAATGCTGCGACATCCGTGGCGTCCACCCGGTCCTGGCGGCAGGGCCTCCTGGCTGACCATGTCACATGACCATGTCTGGAAACAGGCCAGGGAGGACGGGCCAGCACTGGTAGAGGTCCCAGGGATGCGTGGCCCCTGGACCCTGGATTTGGGGGTCTCCCCAAAGACGAGGGGAGGGCGGGGGGAGCTGTGGATCACAGGCAACGTAGAAGCGTCCAGGCTGGAGAGGGTGCCGTGGCCGAGCCCCAGGGGAGCCCCGGCCCCCCAGCTCCTCTTCCGGAGCAGCTGCCCCTGACCTCGGGCCTTCCCTTCCGTAAACATGAACAAGAACAGAACGAGCCGATCCGCCCGACACGGTGACACAGTGGGACCCATCGCAGGGTCTCCGAGGGCCCAGCCGGGCGGACGCAGCCAGGGCCTGCCGAAGCCAGACGCCCATTCCACGGCCAGGCTGCTGGGGAGAAGGCCACGCGTGCCCGGCGGGCAGGGGCCCGGGCTCACTTTCTCCCCCGGGCCCTGACTCACTTCCTCGGCCATCCTGTGCGGAGCCACGCGTCACCCTGGCTCCGACGGAGCTCCTGGAAAACCCATTTCCTCAGAGGACGGACGGACGTGGCAGTGGAGGGGACAGGACCTGGTTAACCCTTCCCTGGGGCGCCTCTGACACCTCCAGGCCGGGAGACTCCTTCCCGGGCCCGACCCTGCTCCTGTCCTTGGGCCCATGGGGTCACGGGTCACCCCAGGCCTCTGCTCAGGAAGCCCGCCCTCCCTGGGCGCCCCTGCCCATCTCTGAGACGCTGTCCCAGGAAGCCGCACGTCCCCTGGTGGGCCCAGGCCACACTCGCCACACTTGGCGTCCACTCACTCAGGGCTCCCCCAGAGCTGCCCAAGCTGTGGGCCAGGCCCAGGAATGAGATGGAGCGCAGACCCTCAGGCCTCTGCCGTCCAGGGTGGGCTCCGGAGCCGGCCTCTAGTATGCAGCCCACTGACATGCCACGGGCTTGGGAACCATGGGACGGTGACTGTGTCCGAGAGCAGAGGGGACTTCAGCACTGGTGGCTGAAGATCAAGGCAGCCCCCAAGGTGTGGCTTCCCCACCCATGACAAGGACCTGCCATCGTGTGGGGTACCATTTAGCCGGGTGCTGGGTACTTGACTGGTCTCCCCCAGGATAGCAGGAGACAGGGGAGGACAGGGTGTGGGACAGGTTGAGCTGGCCTTCACTCCCTGGGCCCCCTCCCAGGGACCTTCATGGTGGGGAGGGCAGAAGAGGCCCAGCCCAGCTGTGAGCCACTCCAGCCCCGGTCCTCAGCTGCCCCCCAGCCTAGGGCTGACTGGAGCCCAGGGAGGATGAGACAGGAGGGATGTGGCCAGTGCAGAGGCAGGCGAGGATGGCACCTTCAGGGTGTGACACAGCGCGGCGTGCCCGAGTGTGCACTGCAGTTATGCAGGAGGCGAGGAGAGGCCTGGGGTGGGGGCGAGTTAGCTCTGCAGAGGGACAGGGAGGCGGCAGGGTGGGGGTTCCTGCAGGTGCTTCCTGCAGGTGGGTGGGAGGGGCGTGCTCAGAGGACCCTCCTTCCAGTGGTTTCCAAGTTCTGTTATCAGATGAAACCGCCCTTGGGAACACCACACAGCCACCACCCCAGGAGATGCCGTTACAGCCAGGTGGGACCCAGGCCACTCCCCAGCCCGCCCACCTGGGGCACCTAGAAGCACCTACTAGCACTGCTTTCAGTGCTGAACCCGTCTCCCTGCCACCGTGACCTATTTCACCAGTGAATGGCTGAAGCCCAAGCTCCTGAGCCCCAGAGTTCCAGCCCTTAATCAAGAAGGGCACCCGCAGGACAAAGAGGAAGCCCCGGGAAGGCTGGGGCTGCCCGAGGCCCCCACCCGCCCACGCAGAGGCCACACCCCTGCAGCAGCCAACCCAGGAGGCACCTGTGGCCCAGCCAAGCCCCTGGGCCTCAACTCCCTCTGCAAGCCCAGAAGGGCCCTGGCCCCTGCCAGCCCACGAAGAGAGGACCCGCCAGGGAAGGGACTCCTGGAGAGCCGGTGTTCCCAGGCTGCCATCCAGCAGCCCCTTCACCT